AGGTGGCAGCCTGACGCGGGGCTCGATCCCAGGACCCCAAGATCATGACCTGAGCTGAAGGCAGACGCTCAACCTTCTGAGCCACCCAGGCGCCCCTAGAAATATGGACATTTTAATGTTGTCTGTGACTTAATAAAAGCTGAGCAACAAAAGATGTCAAAGGAAGATTTCTTTTTTTTCTTTTTAGAGAGGGAGAGAGAGTGGGTTGGGGTGCAGAGGGAAAGGGAGAGAGAGAATCTTAAGCAGGCTCCACGCTCAGCACAGAGCCCAACGTGGGGCTCCATCTCATGACCCTGAGATCATAACCTTGAGCCAAAATCAAGAGGCAGACGCTTAACCAACAGAGCCACTCACACGCCCCCAAAGGAGGATCTCTAAAAGAAGTCGTGCATAGTGTTGAGATCTTCAAGTATCGGGACTGTGCAGTCAGGTACTTAACGTTCACCCTGAGAGCTCATAAGTGATTGTTCTTTGGGTAAGTCCCCATGTCCAACTGTAGCCCAAAATGCTGATTTGGGAACAGCAGCTTTTCCTCCCATGGGACATGAAACCTGCTTTCTGGTGCTGGACTGTAGCTCCATGGGAGAGCCTGGCGGTGTTGTTCACGTCTGTAGGCAGCCCTGCTCCCCACTCCATGTCCATTTCACGCATTCTTCACTGTCTCAGTGCTCTCTGCCCTATGCCAACTCTGACCAGAATTCCCTTATGTTCTCACCAGCATGTCTATACAACTGACCGGTCTCTGTTCTCCCCTTCTCAGTCTGTCATCTAATTGAGGATCAAAGGCCACTTCCCCTCTGGATGCCATTTCTTCTTCCTTCTCAGCCACTGGGGTTCCTCACTTATCCACTGCATCTTCCATCTCTTCCTCTTTTCTGGATTGTTCCATTGGCGTCACTCTAGTCCAGTACCTTTCAAAGGAAGGTCCCTGTACTTGCATTAGAATTGCCCATGGCCATGCCTAAATCCCATGCCACATTGCCTCATCAACCCTGCAGTCCTCTGTCTGCTTGTCATCTCACATTCCTGGTTCCCCCTGCTTCTCAGATTTCTCCTTACTTTTGTAGGTTTATCTCCAGGCTCATATATCTGTTTGCAAACTTGATATCTCCATGTGGATTTCTCTAAAAAAAAAAAAAAAAAAAAAATCTCAGGCTAGTGCTCTCAAACTTTAATGGGCACATGAATCACCTGGAATCTTGTTGAAAGCAGTTTCTGACCCACCAATGTCTTGATGGGCCAAAGAGGTTGCATTTCTGAAACATCCGTGGTGATGCTGATGGTCTACAGCCCACACTGAGTAGCAGAGTTCTGGAAGGAAAGACCACTCTAATGTAAGCCACCATCATCTCAAGCTTCGACTACTGTGAGCACATTACCAGTCTCTCCACATCTCCTCTTGCCCCCTGGTAACCTGCTCTGTACACTGCAGCAGGAGGGAGTTTTAAAACCATTCTTCTGGTCATGTCATTCTCATGTTTCTAAATGCCTTTGATGGCTTCCCATTGTGTTTATGAAATCGTTATCCTCAACATCATGGCTTCCAAGCCTTGTGTGTTCTGATGCCCTACTTCCCTCTCACTCCATCTTGGGGGCACTTTTATCTTTCCTTCCTTCTTTCCCAGACACACTGGTCTTCTCTGGGTTCTTCACTGGGCTGCATTCCTAGGTTCTTCCTCCATCTGTCCCACCCACTGGACCTTGTACAGATCCCACATCCTCTGGCCAGATGATACCATGCAGCGAGCTGGCCTGCAAAGTCTTGTCTTCCATCCAAGATGAGATAAGGAACTTAGACCAGAGCATGAATTGACCCCTTGCGGAGCATGCTTTCTGGTTCAGCTGACAGTTAGATTTTTGTATCACGACCTACTCTCTGAAGAAGCCATGCATTGAGTTACATGCTGGCTCAAGCACCTTTTCTCATTGCAGGCCAGGAATGAAAAGTGCAAACACTTTGAATAACATTGGTCTGGGATACTCTTGTCCATGTTCATACTACATACTACAAACGTGCACATGTACACACACATGTGCACACAGACTTTACACCGCCAGGCACATGTAGCTTTAAATGAGAAAGGCAAAACCTTAAGACTTTTAGAAGACAATATAAGACCATCGTTATGCCCTTTGATGTAGGGAAGGATTTCTTAAATCTCTGTGTTAAGACCAATGCATGTGAACCTTAGACAACCACAGAAAAGGTTGATGAATTTGACCATATTAAAACTGAGAACTACTGTTCATCAAAAGGCCACATAAAGAGAATCAGACAACAAGCTACAAAACTGGGAGAAGCTATAACTGACATTGGATTAGTATCCAGAATATATCAAGAATGCCTTTAAATCAGAAAGAAAAAGACAACCCAATAGCAAAATGGGCAGTAGAATTGAAAAGATATCAGAAGAGGCAACATGAATGGCTAACAGATACGGAGAAGGTGCTCTGTCTGTTATAACCAACGGAGCCACCCAGGCGCCTCTTAACCCAACAGTTCTGTTCTCGTGCATGCGCTCACACACACATGCACACATGCACATACATTCTTAAAACACAGGTGCACACACACACACAAACATATACAAATACATACATGTGCACATGCATACTCACACATTTATATTTTATATGTACATTTGTGTACCAAAAGATGAGTAAGAAAGTTCATACCAGAAATGTTTGGGGCACCTGGGTGACTCAGTCAGTTAAGCGTCTGACTCTTGGTTTCAGCTCAGGTCTTAGGGTGGTGATTTTAAGCCCCGTGTTGAGCTTCACACACTGGGCATGCAGCCTACTTAAAAAAAAGAAAAAAAGAGGGGCACCTGGGTGGCTCAGTTGGTTAAGCATCTGCCTTCGGCTCAGGTCATGATCCCCGTGTCCTGGGACTGAGCCCCACATCGGGCTCCCTGCTCAGCGGGGAGTCTCCTCCTTCTCACTCTCCCTCTGCCCCTCCCCCCTGCTCATGCTCTCTCTCTCTCAAATAAATAAAAATGAAATCTTAAGAAAAGGAAATATTTGTAAAAGCAACAGTGACGGTAGTCCAACTGTTCATCAACAATAGATAGATAAATAAATTTTATAATATTCGTACCATAGAATTCATGTTGAAGTGAGAACAATTACCTGCAAAAAACATACTTGGATGAATCTAAAAAAATATGGAGTGAAAAATAAGTTGCAGCAGAATACATGCAATATAATTCCATTTTGATAAAGTTTGAAAACACACCAAGCTGGAGAGTATGTGCTCTTTAGGGATACACACATGTGGTAAGACTAGAAGGAAGAGGAAAGCTGTGAGAAAGGCATAGTTCAAGAGTGATTGTCTCAGTGCAAGGGAAGGGCGGGGAGGGGTCCCCAGGGGCTGCCAGAGGAAAGGGCAATCTTTTTTCTTAAACTGGGTGATGGGAACTCAGGTGTTCTTTGTATTATTATCTATATACCTGGCAAATATGTTTTTATAAATAGCATTTCTTATCTTCTTGATTATTTGATAATAAAACCGGTACCAGTTGGAAGAGAGAGTGATCTAGTAGAAGGTATTAGTATACAGTTGGGTTTGGAAAAAGAAAGGGAAGGAAGATAATGTTTTCTAAACTAGGGAGAAAAATGGGAAGGGGGGAGGATGCTTTTGTTTTAAAGATTTATTTATTTATCCTAGAGAGACAGAGAGAAAGAGTCTGAGCAGGGGGAGGGGCAGAGGGAAAGGAAGAGAATCTCAAACCGACACCCCTACTGAGCGCAGAGCTGGATTTGGGGCTTGATCCCCCCTGACCCGGAAATCATGACCTGAGCCAAAATCAAGAGTCAGAGGCCCAACCCACTGAGCCACCCAGGCAGCCCCGGAGGATGATTTTAATGATGGCACTAAAATCGTCTTCAGGATAACCCGAGAACTGTAAAAAGAATAGAAGTCGCTAAACATTGACCAAATTGGGCAGTAGTTTAACTATCTGCTTTTCTTTTTTAAGTCTTAGAAATTCTAGAGGGCTCTTGTTTGGTAGTAGGCTTAATATCCACACAGAGTTGAGATGACTCATTATGTTTTGAAAATTCCACAATTTAACAAAGAAGCAAAAGTAATGGTTCTATTTGGATTAAAGCTCTTCAGAGGTTTTTGCTGCTGGTTTCCCAGGCCAGCCCTCCGAGGGTGTGTTGTTTTCCTAGCACCCAGGCCTGCACATGTGAGCTGTCTCCAGGGGCATTGTGAGGCCTCACGGCTCTGAAGGCAGGCCTGTGCATGGGCTTCAGTAGCACAAAATAATAGTATATGCTTTCAGCTCCTTTGCAATGTAATATAACTTGGCATGTTTTCCAACGTAACTTCTTCACTAGCAATTGTAATTAAATGGACTGATTTGACTAAGTGTGCTGTGGTGTGTGAGGAGCCTTCAGTCACTGAGAACTTATGAACCTGCCTTCCTAAGGCTGCCTAGGGCCTGGGTGCTATTTTAAGCAAGTCAGCTTAAACTGCTTGAGCCTCCTTTGCAACGTGATGGGATCAACTAAGGTCTTAAAGGATCCATTCAGGTCGGAAAGTCCAAGATTCCATGATCGACTACTGTATTTGGGGATGATTTCCAGTTAGAAAAATATGACTAAAAAGAAGAAAACAACAACAAAAAAATTATCTTGCTTGGGTAAGACCAACAAGTTCCTAGAGACAGTTAGGCATCTCCCTCGTGGATTTCTAAAAACCTCTTTAAAAGCTTTATTAGAGATTTTAAAAAGCTTTTGTTTTTTCAAAGAGCAGTTTTAGGTTCACTGAACAGTGAAATTGAGCGGAAGGTGTAATTTCCTATTTGTCCTCTACCCCCACACATGCATAGCCTCCCCCACCATCAACATCCGCCAGTGAGTGGCATGTTTGTTACAAACTGTGAATCCACGTTGTCAAATCATTTGTCACCCAGAGTCCATAGTTAATACCTTAGGGTTCATTCTTGCTGTTGTATGTTCTGTGGGTTTGCCTTGTGAATTTTTAAGCCCCATGAATCCACACAGCAGTAGGACAGTCCCTGCTCTGTTACATACATCGTGGCAAGATCGGAGCCCAGGTGGAGGAGGTACAAGGTACGCACCCAATAAATCTGTGTTGTGCAGTCTCCATGGGGGAAAGTGCCTCAACTTGGGCTGTTCAGTGTGGCTGCAGACGTGGCACTGCCTGAGAGGGACACAGAAATTTAGTGCCCACCCCAGCCCTGCCTTTTTTTTTTTTTTTTGAAGATTTTATTTACTCATTTGAGAGAGAGAGAGAGAGACAGAGGACAAGCAGAGGGAGAGGGAGAGGGAGAAGCAGGCTTCCTGCCGAGCAGGGAGCCTGATGTAGGGCTCGATCCCAGGACCCCGGGATCATGACCCGAGCGGATGGTAGACACTCAACCATCTGAGCCACCCAGGCGCCCCCAGCGCCTGCCTTTGAACAAGACTCCTGTCTCATTCCCGTGCACGGAGTCTGAGGAGCATGGCTATCTCCCCAGCTCCTTGCCTTTCTCTCTGTCGGCACAGAGACAGCCTTTCACTTGGGAGAACTAACACTTTAGAATTTGAAAATTGATCTCCGGGGCTTGAAATTAGAGTCTATGAAGGTTTTCTGCTGGGAGAGACTCACTTGGGTTTTCTAACCTCTTCCTGAATTAACTACAGAAGTAATTCCCGTGGCATCCCAGCTGCTGTCTCTTCAGAGCTGGTTTCTCCCTCCTGGGGCTTGGCCAAAAAAAGGAGGAAAAAACAAAAAACAACAAACAACAAACCACATCACAGCTAGGCATACCTCACATTTCTTAGTGGGAAGTGTTTGTTCCTCTTTTTTACTGTGCAGAGAATTTTTAATCTTTTTGACCACTTTGCCTTCTCTGTTCCATGTCCTTTGTAAACAGGGTGGATTGAATTCTAACTTGCATCAGATACTTGGGCTTATATATTAGCCCAAAAATGTTGCTTTTCTTTGCTGTTTTATCTCTTGTAGTCTTCCAGTGCATTTTCAAATATGTTTCTGATTCATTTTAAAAGGGATTATGCTCTCTATTCAGATCTTATATTTCAAAATAAATTAGATCATAGCAGAGTTTTAAAGCACACATAAAATGATTTGTCCTTAGAAAAACTTTCAAATCTGTATGTTACATAGGTGGACAGAATGTTGATTTTATTACTTTTATTACTATAAATAGATTTATAACCGTTTACCCTTTACTGTGGAAAAGAACAGCTACAACTTACTTTACCATGGTTGTGAGAAACATCGTGATTACTTTTTTGCCCATGCTTGGAATATGATAGGTAAATAGTAAAAGTATATAGACAAGAAATCTTAGAGCGAGGTTGTAAGGAAGACAACAAATGCCTAATAATACTGAAATCTCTAAGAAAAGCTTTCCTTCTTTTATTTATTCATTTTTATTTTATTTTTTAAAGATTTTATTTATTTATTCATGAGAGACAGAGAGAGAGAAAGAAGCAGAGGGAGAAGCAGGCTCCCCACTGAGCAGGGAGCCTGATGCGGGACTCAATCCCAGGACCCTGGGACCATGACCTGAGCCGAAGGCAGACGCTTAACCATCGGAGCCACCCAGGCGCCCTTTATTTATTAATTTTTAAAAAAGTCACATTACATAAAAAGGAGTGTGACCCTTTTAAGTAAGCAGATTATAGCTGGTGTAAGTTTATGATTTTCAAATGCTAATGGAACCAGTTAGAAATCTTTTGTCTAAAGAAATATATGACTAAATATCATGTACTAATTTTAGTGTATACACACAAAATCTATTCACAGAATTTTGTCTTAATCTTGATTTCCATTTCTGCTAATGAGTCACAAATACCTCTGGATGCCCTCTTTCAGCTTCTGTGGGATCGTCGTAAGCTATAGTAATTCTGTAGTGTGTTTTTTAACCTCACAAATTACGTAGTAGTAGTATTGTTCATTTATACCATCAGTATTGTTTAGACTTAGCCATATCTTTATCATTTATTTATCTTCTGTTCTTTCTTCTCAGATCTTCCTTCTGGGATAATTACTTTTCCTTTTGAAGTATATCCTTGCTTAGAGAGGCCCCTCTACTGAAGGTCTTCTGTTGGTATAATCACTTTCTGTTTATCAGAAGATGTTCCTATTTTAACAAATAGAGAGTATTGTTGGTTTTTCAAATCTAAGATGTCAGATATTTTCTCTTAGTACTTTGAAAATTTTATTTCATTGTCACTTGGCTCCTAGTTCTGGGAAGTAGTTATGTAATAGTGATTAATTGCCAGTCCTTTCCTCTGACTCATTTACAGTTTCTCTCTGTCTTTGGTGTTCTGTAGTATCATCATGTGTGTAGATATGAGTATGTATGTATGTATGTATGTATGTATGTATTTATTTAGGGGAGGGGCACAGGGAGAGGGAGAGAGAATCCCAAGCAGGCTCCACACCCACTGTGGAGCCCAACACAGGGCTCAATCTCACAATCCTAAGATCATGACCTGAGCTGAAATCAAGAGTCGGACACTTAACTGACTGAGCCATCCAGGTGACCCTGGATGTGGCTTGGGATTTCTTTGTCTTCCTGAATTGAAGGATTTATGTCTCTTACTAATTTTGGATAATTTTTAGCACTCTTTCTTTGAATATTGTCTTACCCAGCTCCCTCTATTATTTCTTTTAAAAACGTATCAAATGTATGTTGGACTATCTCATTCTATCTTCCATACTTTTTTTTTAAAAATTTATTTGACAGAGAGAGAGCACGAGCAGGGGGAGCGGCAGGCAGGCAGAGGGAGAAGCAGGCTCCCTGCTGAGCAAGGAGCCTGACGTGGGGCTTGATCCCAGGACCCTGGGATCATGACCTGAGCTGAAGGCAGCCGCTTAACCGACTGAGCCACTCAGGCGCCCTCCCCGCCTTGTTTTTTGAAGTAGGCTCCATGCCCAGTGCAGAGCCCAGTGCGGGGCTTGAACTCATGATCCTGAGATCAAGACCTGAGCTGAGATCAAGGGTTGGATGCTTAACTGACCAAGTCACCCAGGCACCCTGTATCTTCTATACTTCTTAACTTCTCTTTTTAATATTTTTCATCTTTCTGTTTCTCTGTATTCCATTCTGTGTAATTTTCAGATCTATCTTCCAGTTCACTAAATCTCTCTTTAGCTATGTCTAAATTGCTATTTATTGTACTATGTATTGCATATTGAGTTTCAAAATTTTAACTCATATATATTTTTAAAGTTTTTGAATTTAGGGGCACCTGGATGGCTCAGTCGGTTAAGTGTCTGCCTTCGGCTCAGGTCATGATCCCAGTGTCCTGGGATTGAGCCCCGCATCGGGCTCCCTGCTCAGCTGGGAGCCTGCTTCTCCCTCTGCTGCTCCCCCTGCTTGTGCTTTCTCACTTTCTCTGTCAAATAAATAAAATCTTTAAAAAATAATATAAGTTTTAAACTTTAAGTAATCTCTACACCCAATGTGGGACTCAAACTCACGACCCTGAGATTAAGAGTTGCATGCTTCTCCAACTGAGCCACTAGGCACCCTTTTATTTTTTCATTTCTAAATATTCTTTTAATTCTTTTTCAAGTCTTTCTGGCCATTTTTATATAGTCTCTTGCTCCTTACTCATGTTTTCAGTCTCCTCTTTATTATTTTAAGTGGATTAAACACACTTTAAAAAATGTAGCTCACATTCCAATATCTAAAGTCTTGGGGTGCCTGGGTGGCTCAGTTGGTTAAGTGTCTGCCTTTGGCTCACGTCATGGTCTTAGGGTGCTGGGATCGAGTCCTGCATCAGGCTCCCTGCTCAGCAGGGGAGTCTGCTTCTCCCTCTCCCTGCCCCCCACTCATGCTCTCTCTCTCAAATTAATAAATAAAATCTTAAAGTCTTTACAAATCTGATACTATTTGTGTGGGCTTCTCTTGACTTTTTTCATAGTACCTTACTTCCTTGTGTGTTTTGTAATTTTTAATTTTGCACTCATATTTATTGGACCTCTCGCTGCAGGACTACTTTGATGCCTGGTTTTCGAGTGTGTTCTTCTGGAGAAGATTTATGTTAACCTCTGATAGACACTGGAGACCTGGTCCACTTTAAATTATGATTCTAAACATACAGTTTTTAGGACCACACAAGTAGTATAGATTCCAAAGTTGGGAATGCTTTTTATAAAATATCTGCACAAAGTCAAAGTTGAGACAGACACTTTTTCTCACTGTTCTCTGAGAGATGGGTATTTTTCTTCCTGATTTACTCTTTCCCTGAGACTATGGCCCTTCTCAGGTCCACATTTTTTTTGGAGATGGTCTTCAGTTGGTTCTTTACCTGTTCAGACCCAACACTTGTCCCTTATTCCCCTGTGGCCTAACCATTAGGCTATCTGGTCCAATGTCCCTCTATCCAATGACTGTAGTGCTTGATGACCTTCCTAGTCCATCTCCTTCTTTGCTCCTGTGTTCAGCACATGTCCCTTTTTGTCTTGCAGGCTCATCCAGTCATGTAAAAGGATGTTTTTGAACAGTTATTGAGCATAATTAAGTGTTATGATGTGGGAAGACTTCAAGATCTCCAGTCTGTCATGTTGCCAGGAATAGAACAGAAATAATTTACTTTAAAAAAAAGCAAAAAGAGTGAATTCAAGTTGATCTCTATAGTATTTCACACACTCATGTTCTGATGGACTGTTTGGATAAAGCAAGAGGAGGGTATTATTATGGGTGATAATAGTTGCTCAGTCCCCAGCCCCTGCTGCAGTGGACAGTACCCTGTGCTCTGGGTCTTCATTAGGGGTTTGGGCCATTACATATCCTGCCTCTGTATACACTGTATTTGAATGATAGGTGGAGATACCTCAGCCACTTCCATGATAATGACGGCTGTGACAAGGATAAAGAATAGGAAAGTTTTGAGAGGATGATAGGATGCTTTTGGCACATATCAGAACTCGGTCCTCACCATTCACTCCTTTATTTATTCATTCATTTAACAGATACTCATTGAGCTCTCACTATGTGTCATTCACTGGACTAGGCACTGGGAAAACAGATCAACAGTCCTTGTCCTCAAGAGGGTCACAGTGTGATGAGTGGACAGTTCACTTCAGTGAGGCATGATAAGGGATACGACAGGTGGAAGCCTCAGGAGAGGCACGGACTCAACTTTAGAGTACTGAGGAGGGAGGTGGTGTCTATGTGGAATCTGTAGGACCAGCAGGAGTGATTCAAGTGGAGAGCCAGGGAAGGGCATCCCAGGCTGAGGGAGAAGAATGTGCAGAGGTGCTAAGCCAGAGGGAATTTGGATTTGGGAACTGCAGGTAGTTAGGAAGCCGTGAGAGTGGAGCAGGGAATGATGAGAACTGAGCCTGGAGGTAGTCAGGGGCCTCAGTGTGGGCAGCCTAAATTAGGATCTTTTGAACTCTTACCTGGGTAGTGAGTGATGCTGTCAGACTTGTCATGTTCATTTCTCTTGAGAGCTGGCTCTTGTGGAAGAGAAGGAACGTGGGCTTGGGAATCAAGACAGGCTGATATTGAGATTCCAGCTTCACCTCTGTCTGGGTGATCATGTAATTGATGTAGTTACCTTCTCTGAACTCTCTTTCTTGTGTGATAAATGAGACAGAATGGACTAGACAACCTCCTAGGACCTCCTCCATTTCCAGTATTCTGTGGTGTCATTTGCAAGTCAGAGAAAAAAAATGTCAATGTCTGCTTACACACAAGCTTAATTAAGTTAAGGTAGAGCTCACAGTTATGAATATTTGCTGAATGTAATTCTGGCAATTGCTGGCTCCCAATTAGCTGTTTAATTCTGTGTGTTTTGTGTTGTGCATATTCACAGTGAGTGGAGATTCTGAAACGAAGTGTCGGCAATATGACTTTCATTGCCTTGCAACTAACCCAGCTTTTACTTCCCTTGTAGATGAGCTCTTTCTGGAACAGCAAAACCTCTCTTTATCCTCCGTGGAGCTCATGATGAAGAAAAGCACCGTGCACAGCACTGCACATGTGGCCTTAACAGAAACTGCCCCAGGGTCCCAGCAAAGCAGTTCTCTCCACGTCATATCATCTCCATCCGCCACTATTTTTGATACAATCTTTTTTAACCAAGGAACAATGACCCAAAGTATAGCAGATCACAGCATCTTGGTGGCAAATTATGTGTCGATGCTGAGCAATGCGGTGGTCAGAGAGGACGATGAAATGGATAACTTTTTGCCAGAAGCTCCCTGGACAACTTCCCGCCCGGTTTCTCCAATTCGGTATCTCCCGGTCAGCCCGCCGGCGCTGACTCCATCCTCACCCATGATTTCTTTTCAAGACCAACAGATGACATCAGCCTGGCAGAACACAATGCAACAAACAACAACGTATACCGAATCCCCCAGTCATTTCAGTGCTTTTCGGTCAGCTTTTCCCACATCCGAGGGCATGCTTCCAACACCTAGTAGGAACTTGGTGCTTTATCCTACGGACGCTTACGGGCACTCAGCGAGCAGGACTTTGCCGGAGATCGTGGCTTCAGGCACGGAGGAAGCAGAAACCCTTCTCTCCAGCTCTCTGTCTGCAGAGCCGCCGCTCGTAGGCAGTGGCCTGACTCAGCAGCCTTTTCCCTCCTGGGCGGAGGTCCCACCGCCTCCAGAGGATGTTCTGGCCACGGTCACGGCCACGGCCACGGACAGATACCCAGAGGAGACCACGGCTGTGAGTCGCAGTCTAGAAGGAACCATCCTTTCTAGAACAGAGCCTGCCGCAGCTCTGGCACAGATAGTCTTTGCTTGTAGCCGCGGCAGCCCAAATTCGGCTTTGTTCTCATCTTCTTCTGCCTCCGTGTCCTTTTCTCCTCCATCAGCTGATGTTTCTTCTAACCCCTTTCTTCCCGGCAGCCCCGGTGAGACGTCGGAGCTGCCAGGCGACGCAGGGGTCGTCCCAGACCTCGAGGACGACGACGCTCGCGTCCTGAGCCCGCTGTCGTCACTCAGACCCTACACGGGGTGCGTGTCCTGCCGCGTGGCGTCGCCTCGGCTCGTCGCGTCAGCCAGCCTCCCGGGGAGGGAAGACGTGGGCTCGGGGGACGGCGCCGAGACCCTGTCGGTGACCACACCGGAAGCCCGCGGCGTCTCTCCGTCCAGCCGCAGAGTGGCGGACTTCCCAGAATTCGAAGAAGAGCCGCAGGAATTCAATACACGTTTCCCCTCCCGGCCGGTGGTTCCACTGTCTTCTCCCTCCGTGCGCGGCTCAGGAACGGGCGGTGGGGTTTCAGCCGAGGCGGGTGCGAGCAGTGTCGGGACCACCCCGGTGCCTCCTTCCCGCGGCCACCTCTCTGCGCCCGTGTCGCCCGATGCTGCTCCTTTGGGCTCCTCCTCTGTCCCCGAAACGCCGGGACCGCCAGCCGGCGGCGGGACAGCGGGGTTCCCCTGGGTCATCAGCAGCGTGCTCCCCGACTCGTCTGTCCCGCGCACAGCGGACCAGAGCCGCCCCGCGCCCGCGCGCGGGGACCCACGGCCTTCTCCGGCTTCCGCCCCGGGCCCGTCCGGGGAGCCCGCGCCGGTCCCTGACGCGGAGCCTGGCGGCTTTTCGGCGCATGAAACTGGACGGGCTTTGGAGTCCGCAGCCGGTTTTCTCCCAACTCCACCGCTGGAGTTCAGCAGCCTGGTCCCTTCATCTTCAGAAGGACTTGCCTCCCCGACTTTGGGGATGGCGAGTGCCGCGGGCGCTTTCGTTTCTCCGGCGTCCTCTGCGGTGGTCGAGACCCTCGCGTTGTCGGACTCTCTCCGTGCGCCGTCCGCCCCGCTTCCCGTGCCTGCTTCCACAAACTCTGACTTTTCTCAGCCCCAGCCGAGTTCAGACCTTCCTTTAAGGACATTCACGTTTCTTCCTGGCTACTCTGAAATGTCGCGCCTCACAAGCCTCCCTTCTGATTCTGTCAAGTTCTCTGAAGCAGCAACAGTTGCCCCGACAGGTCCCGAAGCTCATTTTACCTCAGCCCTCACTGAAACTACCTCCTATTTTGAGTTGTCACTCATTGCCCATGAATCTGCGGTCACCACCCTGGTGCCCTCCAGGTCTGAGCCCACCCTTGACATTTTGACTCTTGGGACTCGCTTCCCGTCACCTTTGACTGCTTTTCATACGACACCCATTTTAGCAGAATCTTCTCTCTTTCCAACTCCAACTCCAACACCTTCCAGTGACGGAGTCAGTGCTACGGATGACCACTCACCTGTCTTACCCTCTTTCTCCAAAGTCATTGCCAGCACCACACTGCTGGTCACTGATGCGTACCTGTCGTCAGCATCCTCATTTGTTTCTGAGGTGGTCCCCTCACCTCTTCCTACAGAGCCAACATTTGTGGGCCCATCATTCACACCCACAGATTTACCAATGAACACCTCCACGGAACCCAACTCACCCAACACCAGTGCTGCCCCCGATCATACTGTTGACAGCACCCCGAGCAGCAGAACTGCGAGTCAGAATCCCCCTGAGAGCAGTTCGGGGCGACCCCCGCCATCCCTTCATCCCGTGCCCACCTCCACTTCTGAAGCAACCGTTGATACTCCGGCACTGGTCACCACCAAGCCGCCATATGTGTGTGATATTACGGTTCCGGATGCCTATTTGATCACAACCGGTAAGGCCCCACTTCAAGTCACCTCTTGGTTGGGGTGATCTTTCTAAGGTGCTTGTATGACATGCCTCTGTGACATACAGCATCTTGGGAAAGAGCAGGGGCTTGGGCTCCAGGGAGCCCCTGGGTGGTAACCCTCACTCCTTCACCTTTCTCCTGTGAGTTCTCTGGACAGTTAGTCTCTTTACCTCTCGGTTTCCTCAATTGTCAAACAAGGATAACTGTGACACCTACGTTGTTGGGTTATTGTAAAGATTTAAATGCATCATTGCACATAAAGTACTTAAGCCAGTGCTTGGCACATAAGAAACACCCACAAAATGCTACACGTTAGTAGTAGCACTAAGAGAAATAAAAGATTTAGATGGAGGCTTAGGAGCGTTTGCTAGGATCTTTGCCTTTGGAACTCATAACCTGGTGGATGTGTAGATGGCACGATTAAAACAAAAACCTTTGTGTTTAGCTCAAGCAGATAGTTGCACAAATGTGTAAGGGCAACCGCTACAATTTCTTATTCTTTTCCTTGAAAAGAGGGAGCACTTTGCTCCTACATGTTCCTGTAAATGTCACTTAGATCCTGAGAATCCGAGAAAGAGACAGGGAGCAGCTAAATGTCTGATCTCAGTTATAAACTTTGATCTCCACCCTGGACCACAGCCCGAGTGACTGGCTGACAAGCAGCAGCTTCCCTTGTATCTGCCCAGCTGCTTTAGTCTCATGAAATCAGAGCACATTTGACATCATGTCTGTACATGTCCAGTGACTATGGCCTGCTTGGTTGCGTTCTCCAGCTTGTTCTTCATCAGGAATGACAGGCTGCGTGTTAAGTCTTGCGACCTGTTAATATACTTAAATACAATATAATATTGATGTGCAGCCTGGCTCTGTGTGTGGTTGATTTTGGTGGGAATGGAGGATAGAAATGAAGAAAGGGGAAAGAAGTTGATAGAGGTAGAGGAGGAATGGAGTGGCGTGGAGAAGGAAGAAGAACAGGGAAACTGTAAGGTGAGGAAGGAGAAGGAGATCATGCTGTGACATAGGCCATGCATCCTCTGCTTGTCACGGTGGTGCCACCACCCTCTGAGGTGGTGGGGAGAAGCTGAAGCCTTTGCTCTCTTAACTCCCTCCCTCCCCTAAATAAGGAACCATTTATTAATTCATTTGACAAATAATTATGCCTTCAGAAGGTTTGAGGGTTATCTACATGAATGGCATGGATCTGACCTTCAGGGAGCTTAGATTCTAGTAGGGTAGACACAAGCCGTGTTTTCTTGGAAGTTGTGATAAGAATGGTTGAAGCAGAGTTCTACAAGAGTGACTTTTGGGATGATGAGGAATGGGTTTGGAAGGATGTGAATTGGAGGTACGCACTCAAGAGGGCTGTCGTCAGAGATGAAGGGAAAAGTGTCCTTCTGGTGCAAGGTGTGAACACAGGTGGAGAGGTCAGACAGCCCAACAACATTCAGCTCGGCTGGTAATTAGACTAATGGGAGGAGGAGGTAATTATGCTAGGAGGTGAGGTTGGGACTCGTGGTGAACTTTCATCTGTGGGAAAACAGTAGTCCAGAGGAGAGAGAAGAGTTTCTTGTAGACATGATACTTTTCTTCCTTTTCTACAGCATTACTACATAGTAACCACAAAGTGGTCAGTTACAAGAAGCTTGTTAAAAGAACTACTGAGGGGCGCCTGGGTGGCTCAGTTAAGCCTCTGCCTTCGGCTCAGGTCATGATCCCAGGGTCCGGGGATCGAGCCCCGCATCGGGCTCCCTGCTCGGCGGGAAGCCTGCTTCTCCCTCTCCCACTCCCCCTGCTTGTGTTCCTGCTCTCACTCTCTCTCTCTCTCTCTGTCAAATAAATAAATTAAAAAAAAACTTTAAAAAATAAAAGAACTACTGAAAGCTTCTTTATTTCTTGGATTTCGTGACATTTATGATACTTGTAGGGGTAATGTGTCGTTTCAAATTTTTCTACAAATAATTAGAAACCATTTTAGAAGATCTCTAAGAATATCAGATATATATAGCCTGGATTAACTGTCATAGAGGATATACATTTAATGCATTTGGTGTTCTTTCTTAGGGATCCGAGTATTTGCAGTAGCTTTTGGGGTAGAATTCACTCACTGTAAACGTACACTGCAACAGTTGTAGTAAATATGGGGAGTTGTGCATAAGTATCCCTATTGTTACATTGTATTTTTAAGCGGACAGGAATGCTATCTTTTGCTCTCAGTGGTAATCTTTGAGCCCTAGGAAGGATCACCTCATTTAGAATCTTCATTTGGATTTGGCCTTGGTTTCTTTTAGTCTTAGTCATTATCAGAGAGAGAGGGTTGGGGTGATTACTTGTCCTCTGAAAGGGTTCTTCTTATGGAGCTGTGTCGTAGAAGTGAGAGCCCTCCATTGATCTGTGGTGGACTCTTGGGAGAACACTTCACGATGTGTGTCCTCTAGGGAGTGAGGCTGTGCTTCCTACCCAGGACCTGCCTGAGCCTGGCCTTCTCAGCAGGGCTCTTTCGCCTCTCTTGGCCCAAACTAGATATTTGGAGAAACAGATATTTGTTGTCAGTGATCCTTTTTCCCCAAAGACCCTTGTGCTCATATCCTGACATTATAGTTTAGATCTTGCTCAGATTAACTAGAGAAGGTGTAGGTTTTCATGGTGGGTCGTGCAGACTATTCAGAGTAATACTTGGATGGTTCATCCTTTAGATGGGGCTACTTACGACGTGTACTTCTTCCTTTGGTCTTTTGGGTTTTTCTGTCTGTGATTTTCCGTTCTGTCTCTCCATTCCCCAAGTTTAGCTTTTGAGATCTTTCCTTCCCTCCCTCTGGTCTTTCCTCTCTCCCTCCCTCTATTTCTCTGTCCCTTTGTTCCTTCCTCCTTTTCCCTTTTCCTTCCCACTCATTTTTGTCCTTCCCTTTAAAACCCATGCTATAGTCTGGTCCTCTTGGAGTCGGTTGTAGTCCAGGCCAAGTTGGCCATTGGTGTGTCAGCAGACACCGTCAGGGTGTCTGCATTTGTTCTAATGGTCTTATGAACTAAAAAAGCCCTTTCCCATGTTTACGATAGTAAAGGTCACCGATCAGTAGAGAAAACAACTGAATGTAACTTAAACATTTGTTTTTTTAAAAAGGAATGAAAGATACAGAGCGATTCTGTCTCTAATTTTTTTTTATTTTTATTTTTACAAGGTTTTATTTATTTGTCGGGGGTGGGGAGAGTGCAAGCGTACACAAGCAGGGGGCGCAGCAGGCAGAGGGAGAAGCAGACTCTCCGCTGAGCAAGGAGCCCGATGCGGGACTCGATCCCAGGACCCTGGGATCATGACCTGAGCCGAAGGCAGATGCTTAACCCACTGGGCCACCCCGGTGTTCCCTGTCTCCAGTTTTAAAAATTAAGAATAGGAAGCAGAAAACCGAATAATTGAAACGTATTTAGATTCTGCATTATGAGAAGTTAATGGAAGAGGAAAGAAAAAGTAATAGGGAAAAGAAAGGGGAGCAGCAGGACATGTTTACTAAATACTGAGAAAGAGGTTCTCTTATTACACATTTTAAAATAGAATTTCTTAGATGTGGAAGGAGAGTTAAATATAGCTAGACTTTGTTATAAGAAATATTTTACTTCCTACATAAAATTTTAATACATGGGGATCGTGAAAATCTTTTCCGCCCCGTTATTAGTGGTGAAAACCCTTCCCTCACTGCATTGAAAAATTGAGGTAGGAGACTTCATTTTACAGGGGAAGATGTTATCTAGTTTTGCTGAGTAACATCTTAAAGTCTTCTAAAATATTACTGCTGAGAGTTTTAAAACTTTGTGTTTTACCATTAGGGGCATAGGCAAGAGACAGAACACCTAGGAATGTCCAGATCCACTGCCGTTCCCCTGTTCTTTCGTAGTCTGGGCCTGATTTTTACAAAATGATTTTGGCAGTGGCTGTCACAGTTTGGCAGAGCACAGGTTCTGCCTTGGGGACCAGAAATGTGATGCCCACATTATTCATAATGAAACTAAACTGCGTTTGGTGGTTGGCTTTGGTTTGTAGTGCTGGCCAGAAGAGCCGTGCAGGAGTACATCATCACGTCCATCAAAGAGGTGTTGAGGATTCACTTCAACCGGGCGGTGGAGCTCAAGGTGGGTCCCCGTGGCGTGGGAGCTCAGGCTGAAGGCATGTCATGGTTCTAGAACGCTCTCTCTCCTCTCCTCCCTCCTCCTCTTGGTGAACACCTGCTTCGTCAGGGAAGCCCTGATCCCACCTGAGGCCAGGTGTAGTCCACTGGAGGGATGTGTTGGCAGAATTGGAACAAAAAGGCTCTAAGACCAGAGTTGGGGTCTTAGATGACGTGATGATTCCCTTGATTTACGTAAAAGGACTTGGATTAGAATTTTAATTAGATTTTAGAGTGAGCGCATATGCATATTTCTGTACACTCAGTGGGATAGAGATAGATTTCCATACACAGTGGACCCTGTGCTCCTACCTCCTCTCCCCTGATGAGGTCAGAAAGCTACGCTTTATACCTGCACCATCCTGAACAGAGCCACATGTGGCTACTGAGCATGTGAAATGGGGCTTGTCTGAATTGAGACGTGCTGTAAGTGCAAAACTGACACAGGATTTCAAAGGCCGAGTGAAAAAAGAAATGTAAACTATCTCACTAGTAATTTTTTACATTGACCACATGTTGAAATGATATATTTCAGATGTATTGGGTTAAATAAAATTAATTTCACCTGTTTCTTTTTACTTTTTTTAATGTGGCTACTAGAAATTTTAAAACTGCATATGTGGCTCATGAACTTCTTTTGGACAGCCCTGCTCAACAGAATTAAGTGTTCCTTCACATGTGGATTAAATACAATGACTTTGAATTCTCCGTAACTCATTATTCAGTTCGTATTATTGGCTGTTCTTTCTTGCTGCTTTTGCTCTTGTAATTTTATGCTGTTTTTGAGACGGTTGGCAGATCTGTAAAAGGGATAACTAAAATAAAATTTTGATTGTCTATGCAGCCCTCCCCCTTCATTTAAAGCTACCTGTTTATTTTTTACCTTACTTGCTCTGCTGTTTTTCTGCCTCATGCAGCTTCCTTTAATTTTGAGTTACAGTCCTCTCAAATTTGATAATTACTGTCTTGTGTTTTTTTAAATTTTCATAGGTTTACGAACTATTCGCTGACTTCACTTTCCTGGTAACATCGGGGCCTTTCGTTTACACGGCAATATCAGTCATTAATGTACTTATAAATAGTAAACTTGTACGTGACCAAACTCCTTTAATCCTGGCTGTGAAACCTTCCTTCCTTGTGCCGGAGTCCAGGTTCCAAGTTCACACGGGTGAGAAAACTGAGCATAGTTGTTTTGATTGATTTGTAAATAAAATTTCATTTTATTTTTTATGTTGTTAAAAAATTGGGGGAGGATTTTAAACAATCATTTAAATTTAAAAAAGCCTTTAGAATTACAGAAGACTTCCAGCATATACAAGAGAGCACAGAATAGTTGAATGAGCCCCCGTGTACTCATCGTATGGCTTCACAGTTTTCACCTCCTAGTCTGTCTTGTGACACCTGCATGCCCTCCTCCCACATTATTTTGATAAAGCATCATGTCACATCACCCATAAGTATTTCAGCTCATGCCTCTAAGAGATGAAGATTATTGAATACACTCACACACACACATATCCACAGTTGAAAAATTGTTGACATTTTCCCATTGTTCCATCTATCCCCCACAGTGTTTTTTGAGGAGTTGAGAGTGTTTTCACGTTTCATACTTGAAATGTTTCAGTCACTTGCATCTTTTGATGCTCTCATTGTTATCTTTTTCCATTTTTTAAAATGATACAAGTCACCTTCACGTTGTATGTATTCATTTGGGGCAGCGTTGGCTTTCTCCGTTTCCCTGCTAGGAGACCGCTAAATACTACCTCTCAGTACCTAATCCCGTGCTATGGAGGCTTTTTTTGAGTTAAATAGTATTTTTCGCCTCCTCACTGCTCAGTCCTAAACCAGTGCTGGTTCATGGGCCTGTGATTGCTGTCTTTCTAGTTCTTCAGTTCGTGCCTCAGAGCGTGGATACCAGTTTCTGTAACTTCACCCAGCGCATTGAGAAAGGCCTGATGATAGCTCTTTCTGAAGTGAGAAAACACCACCAGGGGACGCATAACTTCACCGTGCAGGTGAGAATAGCACTGAATGCAGAACAAGGTGCTTTGTCCTTTAAAGAGGAACTCGTTTCACATGTTTTGTTGAGGCCACAATTAACTCTCATGGAAGAAGTTCAGTTCACATGAATCGAGGTCGATCTCTTTCCGGGGCACCGAGTTCACGTAGTGTGAATAGGCTAGGCGTATTTGAAGATTATGGAGCAGTAGTATGAGCACGGAGCTCAGATGTGGGGAGCTGGACAGAGATGAGCGTATGCCGGAAACACAAGAATGTTCTAAGAAGGAACGGTGTCAACCTAAATACCCAGTGGGGGAGTGCCTCAGTACACGGGTGTTTCATGTCATGAGGTACCATGAAATGCAGTGCTTGACTCTAAAAACAGAATCTAGCCACTCAGGAATGAACAGGCTTTGTGTGTATTGTATGGAAACCTCCGGTGTTATTATATTTATTTGATATTTTTTCTCTGTATCCTTTGTTCTCTCTTTCTAGAATTTATATTAAGTTTTTGTACACTTGGAGCCACGTTTCATAATTCTTATGTTTTCTTATAATACCATCTCTTTTTAAATTCCTAAATTCTGTCCTCTGAGTCATTAATTTCGTCTTTAGCTGTGTCCATCCTGTTTTTCAGTCCCTCTGCTGAATTTGCTCGCAGCTGTCATTTTTCTGTTGTTCTTGGCTCCTTTTTCGTGGTGATTTCTCCTGCAAAGATGCAGGATTATTTTGAATGGTGATGCAAAATCACCTAGAAAGTCTCCGAGGACATTAATGAGCATTTGTTAAAAGTTGCCTTCCGGTTTCCACGTTGTCTCTGTTTTCTCCGCAGCCATTGTTCTCTGTTGATCTTGGTCCTTGGCGTTTGGGCTCCTAGTTTTCCGTAAATATTTGGAGACCTTTGGTTAGTCGCTGTTAGGAGTGAAGAAGCAAGTTGTTAATTTTGGCAGCTTGCCCATTCAGCTGTGGTGTCTGTGTCTACATCCGCCCTGTCTCCCGATGGGACGATTCCCTGGAGCACTGGGTCCCAGGCAGAGGTTGAGGATGGCGGGACAGCCTGGGACCCCTGCCCCAGTGCAGGATGAGCATTTCTGGGGATGGAGTGCTTCAGTGTACTTTTCACAGCAGATCTGCCCTTTCTTTCGTTTTCTTTCCTTCTCTGTCTCTTGTGTGCTCTGGTGGGGAGAAGTCTCTATCCTCCTTAGGGGCCAGACCCACACAGTCTGTTAGCCTGCTCTGACGGGGAGCTCCTTTTCCTCAGGGAGCAGTTCTTTGGGCGGGTCAGGGTGCAGATGTGGCTGCGCCAGCACTTCTGTGTTGGCCTGCCTGTGGCAGTTAGAAGGGAAGAAGAGGGAGAATCAGCTCAGCTCTTTGGTTTACAGGCTTTGATTAATTGTACTGATTGCTGTTCACGGCCTCCTCTGGTGTCCATTCCTGCAGAGTTCTCCTGGGGCCCTGGGGGAACCGGCTCACTGCCCCTGCGCTCTGGGCCTGTGTATGATTGGGGTCTCAGTTCCCTCAGTTCTGGTTTATATCATTATGATCCCATCCTCTCTCCATCTTCCAGGAATTTGACAGAATCTCTGATTTTCTTCCATTCTCAGAGCTGTTGTAGATTTACTCCCCTTTGTTCAGCTTATTGTTATTTCAGTGGGATTTGGGGTGGGAGGGGCCCGGAGGGACTATAAATGCATGTGTTCGGTTCATCACTTCATGGGAAAAACATTTTCAGTAAACTGAGAATTTTAAGTATTGCAAACGGGAACCAGGTTGTGGAGCTAGTTCGTTCCTTTGAAAAACGTTACCTCCTTTTGGCAAAAAAAAAAAAAAAATCAGTGGGAGAAATTGTGAGAGGGAAATCGTCAGCTTTTAGCTCGGTATTTTACTTTATTTTGGAAGCTTATCCCACCTTCCTTGTTTTTAGATCTTGAATATCACCATGGGTGCTTCAAGGCCTGCTCCTCGGCGGGGCCCGGTGAATATCGTCTTTGCGGTCAGAGGCGTGCAGGGGTTTTTGAATGGGACAGAAGTGAGCCAGCTGCTCAGGAACTTGAGTGTGGTGGAGTTCAGTTTCTACCTGGGGTACCCCGTGCTCCAGATCGCCGAACGTGAGTACGGCTCTCTCGCAAAGGCTGGGAAAGTGGCCGCAAGTATTTTCATTGCTTGGGCCTCTTTTGAAATATTTGGCTGAAGTCCGGAGTATAAATCAGATAAAATCAGAGCATCTCAGAGTCAATTCAGGGTGGGCCTCCAGAGCCCTCCTCACCCACTGGCCTTGTTTTATTATTGTCCTATGAGAGTAAAGGGCACTGGTAAAGCCTACCCCAGTTCTGGAAAAGGTAAAACCAGAGGCACAGAGAACAGGCCTGTGGTTGCCGGGGAGATGGGTGGGAGGAAGGCTAGACTGCAGAAGAGTAGCAGAAGGCAATTTCTGGGGGCTGATGAACCTGTTCTGTATCTTTAATGTGGTGGTGGTTATGCAACTTTGTGCATTTGTCAAAAGCCATAAAGCTGTACACCAGAAAGAGTAAATTTTACTGCATGTACGCATAAAACTAAAAAAAAGGGTAATAAATGAAAACAAACAAAACCTTTCTTCCCGGCTGAAGCAATTAGAATCACGGTGCAAACGGAGCGGGGTGGGGGTGGGGAAAACATTTACTTCAAAAAACAGTAGATCCCAGGGTTGAAATCAGGCCAAAAAAAACATCAAATTCTTTTTCAAAAATGGAACAGCCAAATGGTCTAATGACTTTTATGTGTTTTAGTGTGCGGTTAATTAGATGAAAAAGGATAACTTGTCAGATATCAAAGTAGGCAGGGGTAAAAATTGTTCTTTACAAATAGCACCCGTTCTTTCTGTGCAGTGCGGGTATGGGTAGAATAGTAAGTATGCTGGAAGCGGGGGTACCCCGGGACTGTCCCAGGCAAGCCAGGACGTAGGATCACTTTACCCGGAGTCATTGCTGGGAAACCCTAGGGCCCCAGGGAGCACAGTGTGAAATCTCATTGCTCTGGAACAATGAGATTTCAAGGGGGAACTTGCAGGCGGGTGGGCAGCCGGGCTCTGTGGGAAGCAGTGTCCCCCTGTGTCACTCGTGTCACTCGAGCCAGGCTTTTACTTCTTTTTTTCTGCCTTTCTCCTGGAGACTCTTGTGCTCAGAAACTGCGCAGTGTCCGTGCCTTCACGCCAGTCTGGCATTTTGTTCTAACACATTTTGTGCTAAAGGTATAGGAAAGGCAAAGTACTGTGACTTAACGGGTACTCCCTAGACTTTACCTTCCTGATGGGTGCGAACGTGTTTTTACGGATTTCCCTCCTTTCCTTTTTATAGCCTTCCAGTACCCGCAGCTGAACTTATCTCAGCTGCTGAAGTCCTCCTGGGTGAGAACAGGTATGTCTGACTTACATAATGTTTTGGGAACTGTAGGAATAAAAAGTCTGTGCAGGTGTATTGAGCATGATGCTGACTTTCTTGTTTCTGAGTCCTAAATTCAGGGCATCATGTCCCTTAAATTCTTGGCAAAGAATGAATGAGAAGGGAATTTAGATTCAGCTGTGGGAATGTGTCCCACTGCGTTATGGCACAAAAAGGATTGGCTTTCTTTAAAATTCATACATCAAGTCCAGGGGAAGGTCTAAGAAGAATTGACAGTCTTCTGATCCAGAACAGGATGGAGTTCCAAAGCAAGGATCTCTCTCTCTCTTTTGTTTTCTAAAAAGTCTTATTTGTTTGGTTTTATGAGGATGAATAAGGTAGCTCGGTGAGCAAATAAGGTTTTTTAAAAAAAGTCTTGTGGGCCTGGGTCAGATATTTATAGCTATGGCATTGCAGATAAAGGCTTTCTAACTGGGTAATCAAAGAATAAGAGATAGTGACACACCCACTGTGTGCCCAGCGTGTGAGCGGCTGGGTAAGTAAGTGGTCGTGGGGAGGATGTGTGCCGTGGTGATGATCACCATTTGTGGCTTCTCAGACCCTGCAGGTTCTCCTTGCTTCACATACAATACCCCGTGTAAAGGCTCCACCTCTTTGCATGGTATAGTGGCCCCATTTTCCAGATCATTTTCATAGCACTTCAGAGACTTGTCCATGGTCCTGTCTCAGCAGATTTGGGCCAGTTCTGGCTGAAAAGCTCACGGGTTTTTCTCTGAGGATATGCTAACAAGCCCATTACCTGTTTGATAATCTTGTTTACCACAGATGTTTTAAGACAGGCAGTCTTGGGGCGCCTGGGTGGCTCCGTTGTTAAGCGTCTGCCTTTGGTTCAGATCATGATGCCAGGGTCCTGGGATCGAGCCCTGCATCGGGCTCCCTGCTCAGTGGGAAGCCTGCTTCTCCCTCTCCCACTCCCCCTGCTTGTGTTCCTGCTCTCGCTATCTCTCTCTGTCAAATGAATAAATAAAATCTTAAAAAAAAAAAAAGGCACCCTTATCTCCGGTCAGTTTATGCATCTAAGTCTTGAGTCTAGATAAGATAACTCAGAGCATTTCCAGAAGTTTTAAAATAAGGATGGATAAAATATTTGCTCTTGTGTGGGAGTTCTTAGTTCCAAAGCTTCTATGCTGCTGAGTTCCTGGGACTTCCGGCCACCAGTCTGTGTAACGGAGCTTGGAACTGTAAATAAGACCCCTGAGCAGCACTTCCTGGCTCCCCATGACCCCATTCATGTTCACTTTTTCCTCCTCTTAATGTCTCCTCCTTAGGGATGGGCACTTTATAGGAATCCTACATTGATTTTGTCTTCTACACGCACTCATTTTTTATCCACTGCTAACTTGTTTTGGGGGCTGCGTGTGTTTCATTTTGTAAATGCAGTTCTCCTGGGCGTTGTCGAGAAGCAGCTCCAGAATGAAGTGTTTCAGGCTGAGATGGAGCGCAAGCTGGCCCAGCTGCTCAGTGAGGTGTCCACCCGGAGGCGGATGTGGAGAAGGGCCACCATCGCTGCGGGGAACAGCGTGGTGCAGGTACTCTAAGATGGCCGGGGGAGCAGGGGAGGAGGGGAAGAGATTTGTCTAAAAACACACGGTATTTTCATGCAAATGGAAAATGCCATGAGAAAATTCTAAATTTGGACTGATGACTCTATCAGGTAGCAAATGAGCACGGTAGCATTTCAGTTCGACTAGAGTCTAGATGGATAGACCTGTGGGGAGCATGGCAAGAGAATTGTGTCACTGGGTTGCCATGCCATCAACATGACCTTATTTTTTGGAGTAGTTTTTTAATTACCAAAAATGTAGTCAATTTTATGCAGCGGTAAGTATTATTAATAGCATCATAGTTATAAATCATCTAGTGGAATAGACCGTAAGGGATCGGAGAGAGAAGAATTTTGTGTCCTCCCTTCTAGCACTTCATCCTCCTTGCCTCCTGCCAACCCAATCATGTTACCTGATTGTCTCCACTTTTGTTGTTGTTGTTGTTTTAATTGAGGTAAAATTGATATATATTGTATTAGTTTCAGGTAATGATTTAATATTTGCATACACCTCAAAGTGACCACCGCAAGAAGTCTAGTTACCATCTGTCACCCTACAGTCCATTTTGTAAACTAGCAGGAAGGTTACAAACGACAGATTCATTTGAATCCAACAGTGATCCATTAAAAATGCACATGCTCGCAGAGAGTTGGAGGTTCAGGCTGTAATTTATTCCCATCTCAATGTGAATTCTGTTATTTTGGATTTTTTCCTTTATTGACTGCTGACTTCTAGAGCTAGGAAAACGGGATATTTAGAGCTATGGCATCACAGAGACAGGAAAGTGGGGTGAAAGGAAGTGCAGGGACAGAGAGGTGGGTGGTTTGGAGGCATCAGAGAGAAAGATGCGCAGCTGACCCGGGTGGAGGCGGTGCGAGTTTGTCTTGAGCTGGTGGCGTTGTCCTGTGACCCTCTTACCGAGTTTTCCCCATAAGCATTGCTCTTGATTCCCTCTCCCAGAGTAGTTCCTTTGCCAGCTTCAGTTGACTATAGAGAAATTTTAAAAAAACTAATAAAAAATTGAGAGTAACATTAAATAAGCATGAAACAAGGAAGAAATCAAAATGACTTGTAAAAGCCTCGCCTTATTTAGCAGTCCTGGCTTCGTGGAGCTCAAGGTTTTCGTGGAGGTTAATTTATGCACGTAAAACAGTTATAGAGCCCCATAAAACTACCTAATGAAGGGCTACGTTAGTTGTGCAAACTCCCTCAGGTAGGAATGTGAGGTCTGTGGGCGTGAACGAAGCCGCCCCAGCCGGCGCTGCCATCTGATGGATTGCATAGGGGCCGCGCCCTACATCTCTTCCCCCTTAGAGTGACCCAGTGTGGAGATGCAGACAAGGATTCATGTGCAGCAGTGCAGGACTCTTCATCAAAATATAATCTGTAAAAGTGAAAGCATCACAGCAACCTAATGTCCAGCAGTTGGAGAATGAGTAAATACATTATAGTGAATCTTTATATGTTGGAGTGTTATGTAGCCATTGTCATTTAAAAAAAAATTTGCCGGAGTGGGAGGGATGGGCTGGCTGGGTGATGGACATTGGGGAGGCTATGTGCTATGGTGAGCGCTGTGAAGTGTGCAAGACTGTTGAATCACAGATCTGTACTTCTGAAACAAATAATGCAATATATGTTAAGAAAAAAAAAAGAAGAAGATAGCAGGAGGGGAAGAATGAAGGGGGGAAATCGGAGGGGGAGATGAACCATGAGAGACGATGGACTCTGAAAAAAAAACTGAGGGTTCTAGAGGGGAGGGGGAGGGGGATGGGTTAGCTTGGTGATGGGTATTAAAGAGGGCACGTTCTGCGTGGAGCACTGGGTGTTATGCACAAACAATGAATCATGGAACACTACATCAAGAACTAATGATGTAATGTATGGTGATTAACATAACAATAAAAAATTTTTAAAAATTATTGAGCACTGGGTGTTATACGCAAACAATGAATCATGGAACACTACATCAAAAACTAATGATGTAATGTATGGTGATTAACATAACATAATAATAAAAAAAATTATTGAGGAGTACCTGGGTGGCTTAGTCAGTTAAGCATCCGACTCTTGATTTTAGCTCAGGTCATGATCTCAGGGCTGTGAGATTAGGCTCTGTGCTAGGTATGGAGCCTGCTTAAGATTCTCCCTCTCTCTCTGCCCTTCCTCGCCCCTCTCCCCCACTCACACACTCTCTCTCAATAAACAAACAAACAAACAAATAAGTGAGTGAGTGAGTGAGTGATATAGTGAACAGAGGTTACCAAAGAATGTATGCACTGTCATCCAAATATTAATATGAAACTTATGAAAAAAATAATGGAAATATGCCACAATGTTTATAATAATTTTCTTTGGTTGACTGAACTTCAGGTGATTTTCATTTTATTTTTTATGTATTTTGTGTGTTTCAGAATTCTCCAATGAGCATGTAATTTGTACAGTTAACATGTGATTTTAATCAGAAAATAATTTTAAAAATGAAATTGAAAATGTTGCCATTTCAAAATGATGACTCCATCCTACTACGGTTGTATGGATTCCAGCTATGACTCTGATGAGAAGTCATCTAGAAAGGATGCTAGAATTAGGTTTCACTGACTGTTGCTTTCAGATTGGACAAGTTTGTATAATCTTTAATTATATACCCAAATATATGGGAACCTGGTTTCTGCAAGGCAAAACCATTTCTAAAATGTATCAGAACTTTTCAGTGTAATAAATATTCACATAGTCCTTTGATAGTATTCCATTCTAAGGGCTAATAAAAAATTAATCATTACAGCCCAGTTTGGAGAGAGAGTAGGTGGTTAGGGAATAGAAGTGGTCAGGGAATTAGCCTAGAAATAGCAAACAAAGCGCAGGATAGATGAGCCCTTGTCAGGATGGGGAGGTTTAAAAAACAGATTCTCCAGGGATGAGAGTTTGGACCTGTTTGTTAGAGATCTTTATAAATAATCTTGAAGAAGGCATTCACAGTGAAATCATGAAATTGTTGATTTGCCAGAAGTTTCCAGTGATGAAGGAGGGGTCCCTCAGCCGTGTCTGGAACACAGGGCAGGATTACAATTCTGTACACGTGGCTAGAAAATTAGCAGCTGCATTTTGCCAATGGCAAATGTAGAGACCAAAAATTCAAATTGCTTGTACAAAATAGAGGGCTTGGACTCATTGTTGATATTGCCCCAAAACATTAGTCCTGCATTTTGCTGGAGTCTCAAGTGGCAGTAAAATTGTTGCATATTATTAGAGAAGCAGCAACAAAATAGAAACATGTATTTATGTAAAACTGTGATACAGCAAGTGTACCAGATTCTGAAGTCCTAACGTGAAAGGGCTACCTAGAACACCAGAGGGAGATCAATTCTGGGACAAATCAAAGTACTATTTGACCTAGGTGATTGTGAATTTATGCACAACTTTCTAGCTTGATTGAAAGATAATTGACATATGACACCATATAGGTTTAAAGTATACAATGTGATGATTTGATATGTGTATATATTGCAAAGTGATTGCCACAATAACATTAGTTAACACATCCGTTACTCTTTTTTTTCCGGATGTGGTGAGAATTTTTAAGATCTACACTCAGCTCCTCTCAAGTATATAACACGGTATTGTTAACTGCGGTCACTATGCTGTACATTAGACCCCTGGAACTTACTCATCTTACAGCTGGAAGTTCATACCCTTTGACCACCATCACCCATTTCTCCCACCTCCTATCCCTGGCAACTACCATCTACTCTATTTTTATGAGTTTGGCTTTTTTAGAAGTGTGTGTGTGTGTGTGTGTGTGTGTGTGTGTGTGTGTGTGTGTGTGTCTGTATCACATCACATCTTCTTCTTTATCCATTCATCTATGGATGGACACTTAGGTTGCTTCCATGTCTTGGCTATTGTAAATAGTGCTGCAGTGAATGGGGTGGGGGGGCGGTATGCAGATATCTTTGCAAGATAGTGGATTTCATTTCCTTTGGGTATATACCCAGAAGTGGGATTCCTGGATCACATGGTAGTTCCATTTTGAATTTTTTGAGGAACGTCCATCCTGTTTTCCACAATGCCTGCACCAATTTACATTCCCACCAGCCATGCACAAGGGTCCCAATTTCTCCATCTTACCCCCACCCATCTCTTGTCTTTTGATGCTGGCCATTCTAACAGGTGTGAGGTGATACCTCATTGTGGCTTTGATTTACGTTTCTCTGATGATTAGTGATGTTGACCTTTTCATATACCTGTTGGCCATTTGTGTATCTTTTTGGAAAAATGTCTATTCAGATCTCATGCTCATTTTTAAATCAGAGTTTGGTTTTTTTTTTTTTTTGGTATTGAGTTATAGGAGTTCCTTATATATTTTGGATATTAACTCCTTATCAGATATATGATTTGTGCCTATTTTCTCTCATTCCATAGGTTGCCCTTTCATTTTGTTGAGTCTGTTGCTGCACAGAAGCTTTTAAGTTTGATATAGTCCACTTGTTTATTTTTCCTTTGTTGCTTGTACTTTGAGTGTTATATCCAGAAAATCATTGCCAAGACCAATGTCAAGGAGCCTCTCCCTTATGTTTTCTTTTAGAAGTTTTATGGTTTCAGGTCTTACATTTAACTCTTCCCATTGGAATTATTTTTTGTGAGTGATATAAGGTAGGGACCCAGTTTCATTCTTTTGGTTGTGAATATACAGTTTTCCCAACACCATTTATTGAAGAGACTATCTTTTCCCCATTGAGTATTCTTGGCTCCTTCGTTACCAGGGTCTTCTGTGGTTCCATATGAATATTAGGATTGTTTTTTCTATTTTTAAAATGCCATTGGAATTTTGATGGCTACAGAGGGCTATAGATGGTATCTGTAGGCGGCTTTAGATAGTATGGACTTTTTAAAAAAGATTTTATTTATGTATTTGAGAGCGAGCGAGAGAGAGAGAGCACAAGCAGGCAGAGGGGCAGAGGGAGAGGGAGAAATAGACTCACTGCTGAGCAGGGAGGCCGACGTGGGGCTCGATCCCAGGACCCTGGGATCATGACCTGAGCTGAAAGCAGATGCTTAACCAACTGAGCCACCCAGGAGCCCCATGTTGCATACATGTACATCACGTACCATGATCTTTTTAATGTACTGTTGCATTTGGTTTGCTAGTATTTTCTTGGGAATATTTGCATCTAATTCATCAGAGATATTGGCCTATACTATTCTTTTTTTTTTTTTTTGTAGTGTCCTTAGTGGACTTAGGTATCATGGTTATGTTGGTCTCATAAAATGAGTTTGGGAATGTTCCCTTCTCTTTACTGTTTTGGAAATTTTTGAGAAGGATTAGTATTAATTCTTTGAATGTTTGGTAGAACTCATCAGTGAAACCATCTGGTCCTGGGCTTTTTTTGTTGGGAAGTTTTTGATTACTGATTCAATCTTATTAATTCTTATTGGTCTGTTCACATTTTCTGTTTCTTCATGATTCAGTCTCAGTAGGTTGTGTGTTTTCAGGAATTTATCCATTGCTTCTAGGTTATCCAATTTGTTGGGGTATAATTATTCAGAGTATTCTTTTATGATCCTTTGTATTTTTATTATCTGTTGTGGTGTCTCCTCTTTCATTTATAACTTTCATTTGAGTCCTCTTTTTTCTTTGTTAGTCTAGCTGACGATTTGTCAATTTTTTTATCTTTTCAAAGAACCAACTCTTAGTTTTGTTAATTTTTCCTATTCTCTATTTTATTTATTTCTGCTCTAATCTTTGTTATTTTCTCCCTTCTGCTAACTTTGGGCTTAGGTTTTTCTTTTTTTTTTCCTAGTTCCTTGGGTTGTAAAGTTAGTTTTTTAAAAAAGATTTATTTATTTATTTCAGAGAGAGAGCATGTGAGCGCACTAGAGGAGATGGGGCAGAGGGAGAGGGAGAGAGAGAATCTCAAGCAGACTCACTGTTGAGTGTGGAGCCTGATGCGGGGCTTGATCCCATAACCCTGAGATCACGACCTGAGCCGAAATCAAGATTTGGATGCTTAACTGACTGAGTCACCCAGACGCCGAAGTTTTTTATTTGAGATCTTTCTTTTTTTTTTTTTTTAAGATTTTATTTATTTATTTGACACAGAGAGAGATAGCGAGAGAGGGAACACAAGCAGGGGGAGTGGGAGAGGGAGAAGCAGGCTTCCCACTGAGCAGGGAGCCCGATGTGGGGCTCGATCCCAGGATCCCAGGACCCTGGGGTCATGACCCGAGCCTAAGGCAGACACTTAATGACTGAGCCACCCAGGCGCCCCAAGATCTTTCTTTTTTCTTGATGTATGCATTTATTTTCTGTTTTTATTTGTCTTGATATTTTTTTAATTTCCCTTTTGGTTTCTTCTTTGGTCTATTGGTGTTTGCAGGAGTGTGCTGTTTAATTTCCGTATATTTGTGAAATTTCCAGCTTTTCTCCTATGATTGTAGTTTCATACCATTGTGGTCAGAAGAGATACTTGATATAATTTCTGTCTTCTTGAATTTGTTGAGACTGTTTTGTGGCCCAACATATGGTGTATCCTAGAAAATGTTCCATGTGTGCTTGAGAAGAATGTGTATTCTATTGATACTGGATGGAATGTTCTGTAAATGTCTGTTAGGTTCCTTTAGTCCATAGTGTTGCTCAAATCTGCTGTTTCCTTACTGATTCTCTGTCTATGTGATCTATCTATTGTTGAGAGTGGGGTATTAAAGAATTTATGAGATTTGTCATCCTGAGAGCGGTGATTCTCAAGTGGTGTTGATTTTGTGTCCTCCCTCCCCTACCTGGGTACATTTGGCAATGTCTGGTGACATTTTTGGTTGTCACAACTGCTGAGGGAGGACATGGCTGTTGGTCCTGGCAGCTAGTGAGTGGAGGATGGTGATGCTGCTAAATATCCTGCAATACTTGGGCTAGCCCCCCATTGAACCAAAATGGCAGTAGTGCCCTAAAAAAGAGGAAATGCTGATAAGATTCAAGACGAGATTGGGTAGAACCTACAATCGTTTCTGAGGACCAGGGATCTACCTAACATTAATGATTCATGTTGGGAGGACAGCAGCATTCTCCCGTGATGTGTTGGAGCTGGTTGGTCGCAATTCTAGACTGCCTGGACTTGGCAACCCTGTGTTCTCTGTATCCTACTTGCCCATTTGTCTCAGGGAAGACTTGGAGCAAGATGAGGCACATTTGTTATTCCGTACAAGAGTAACATTCATTGTTCCTCTTACCATTGAGAGAGCATCGTGGGGATTCTGGCATCCAGAATGGTGTCACGAACTCATTATGAGGATTGGAATGAATCCTGAATAACACAGTCAAGATAGAGTGCCCTGAGCAAGGGCATTTGGAAATAGGAGCTTCGAAAATGCTAATGGTTTCTGTTATCTTTCAGATGGTAAACGTGTCAAGGCTAGAGGGAGATGACAATCCTGTGCAGCTCATCTACTTTGTGGAGGATCAAGATGGAGAAAGACTCAGTGCAGTCAAGTCTTCAGATCTGATTAACAAGATAGATATCCAGAGAGCAGCCATTATCTTGGGTTACCGAATTCAAGGCGCTGTTGCCCAACGTAAGTGTGTGAGGCGTAGACCCTAAGTACTGTCTGTGCTGTGCTGGGGTCAAAGCCAGTTTTTTGTTTTGTTTTTTTCTTTTTTTTGACAATGAAATCTGAATTTAAAGCATTCTTATGGGCACAGAGTAGATTTATGTCTTAAATCCTTATTATTTATTATGTGGCACTTGTATAAAACATCAGTTGTTTTTTGTTTGTTTTTTAAAAGATTTTATTTATTTATTTGAGAGAGAGCGAGTGAGAGAGCAGGGGGGAGGGGCGGAGGCAGAGGGAGAAGCAGGCTCCCCACTCGAGCAGGAAGCCCAACGCAGGACTCCATCCCGGGACCCTGAGATCATGACCTGAGCCGAAGGCAGACGCTTAATCAACTCAGTCACCCAGGCGCCCCAAAATGTCAGTTGTTAAAATTCACTTGCCACGTCCTTTATTTCAGCGGCTTGTAGTTGTAGCCCGCACTACTGTTTTCCCACCCAGCATTTTGTATCCCCAGTGTTGAGTTCTAGTAGCTTAAGTTAACTGTAATATTTTTTCCCCTACTCCTGTACTATTTCTTGTTTTAAAAATTTTGTCTAGGTAAAATAACTTGTTTTCTCTGTATTTATTCCAAAGCCTTGTCTGTCATATTTTGAACGTTGGTGGGGACAGTTAGTCACACAGGAAGCTGGGAGGTGCCCTCTGCATTTACTGGCTTCCTGCTGAGTTTTTTTAACACAAAGAAGTCCTTGATCCTTACCCTTTTCAGTGCTGTTTCTCTCCCTCCCCATCTTCGCAGTACTTCACAATTTAAAAAGAGGTATTTTGATATTTCTTTATTATTGTTGGAAGATACTTGGCTCCTGCCCTCGGCAGCGGTTGCTCCCAGTGCCTGATTTTTCAACTCCCAGATTTTGGGTATTTAAAATTAAGAAAAAGGAGAGGCACAGAAGAGTGTTTTCCTCTAAATGTTCCTTTATGAATCAGACTGCTATTTTAATGTGGATGCTTTTGCTTATGAGCCAGAGAGCAATCCTTGTAGGAGCTTGGTGATATTTGCTCCCAACAGTAAATGGATAAGTAAGTGTTTAGAAGGAATGGAGCCTCGGGGAATATTGAAAAGTTCTTTATAGAGAACACATGGGCTGCAAAGGCACCTTTACAAAATGACAGCTTCCCGGTTATCCTCGGTAACAGAAGATTCTTTGTGACATCTGTACTTGTCCCTGGAAACTAAGCAGGACCAGGGCTCATGGGCACACTTTGTCTAATTCATAGATGGTGATGGGGCGAGTTTAAGCAAATAATCCATTGGTGGTTTATGTATTTGAGATATGATTGCATATTAGTACGTTCTGTTTCAAAGCAGTGAGAAAAAAAAAATAACAAAGCACTTACTTATATATCTTCATCGAGGACATTTCTGATTGTAGGAGAGGTGCCCCACTCCAGCTAAGCACTTCACCTTTGAAAGATTAGTTACTATAGAGTATGGGAACCTTTCAAGCTCCTTCCCTCTGTTCTTTGCACCTGTTTCCTCAGCTTCCTGCTAAAAAACACAGGATAAGGATCGTGGGATTGGAAGCCTCAGCCAGCATCAGGCTCAGGCCCCAGGCAGCTCTAGACCCTGGCAGCCGGGCCTCATTTGATGCATCTGTGCCTCTCCCAGGGTGTTACTAGGTTAGAACTAAGAAGAGCATCCAGTTGTCCCAGCTCCTTGGTTTGATTCTGTCACTCCTGTATTGTCAGTTGTTATGCAAAATGAGCTACGTATATAGACTCTATTCAGGCCAAATTTAAAGATTAATACTTTGTCCCTTTTTCCATTTCCTCCATAGTCTCTGCTCTGTAATTTGTGCTTCCTTCATAATGCTCGTGCTTTAGAGTGCTTGCTCCCCTCCCTTGTCACTCTCAGAGGCCTGAACCCTCACTTAAAACTAGCACCAAGAATCTTTTTTGTTGTTACATCTTTGAGCAGAAACATTTTGATCCCATTGCATGTGCTAACCATTATGGAATATGAAAAGAGCATAAAACTTAGCCCTCTGCCCGTGGAGAAGGAACTGTGTTTGAAAAGATAAGACTTAGAGTCATGACCATATTAATGAGTAAAGTAGCACAGTATATCAAGATGACACATTTATGTTACAAAATGCTTTTTAAAATAGTAAGGTACCGGGGTGCCTGGGTGGCTCAGTCATTGAGCGTCTGCCTTCGGCTCAGGTCAGGATCCCAGGGTCCTGGGATGGAGCCCCGCATCGGGCTCCCTGCTCAGTGGGAAGCCTGTGTTCCCTCTCTCGCTGTCTCTCTCTCTCTCAAATAAATAAATAAAATCTTTAAAAAAAAAAATAGTAAGGTACCGTTTGCAAGGCAAAGGCACCCAGAACAAAAGAACTTAGACAAGGAGGAAACTCGCCTTCTTAGCAGTTTTTATGAAGTGATGATAACAGATGAGAAGGTTGGGCAGAGGGGAGGGGGACATTTTGGTCTGGGGCACCTGGTAATTGGAACCTGAGCTTTAAGAGGAGCTGCGTCCTTTGAGAGGATGAGTACAGAATGAAGAAGATGAGGGCTCAGGACCAGGAGGGAAGGTTAGGGAAAGGAGCTGGTGAAGGAAAGGAAGGCACAGTGCTTGAAGTATATTCATCCAAGGTCACGGAAGATGGGAGGCTGCAGCAGTGGTCTGGGTGGTCAGGAGGGTGGGGAATGGCAGATTCTGAGCAAGTAAGTTGGATGTCATGTAATTTTAAAATTGACATCTGGTACCTTAAATCTTGTTTCAGGAGTTTAGAGAGAGACACAGGTGAAGAAATGAAGACAGTGTTTGTAGACCGTTTATTGGGATTTCTGATTTTTAGTATGGAAGTGTTTCGGCAGGGAGATTAGGGTAGAACTAGTAGAATACATGGGAAGTCAGGAGACCTGGAATTAACATAGCTCTGCCATTGGATGAGCCATGTTCCTTTAGGCATGTCAGTATGTCACCATGGTCCCTTGGGCATTGAGGATGTAGTATTCTGTGTTGTGTTTGTTTACTGCATCACGTTTCTGGCCATCAGGAGATCACAGAGTCTTAACCGCTTGACTTGACCTGAAATGACAAGGACTTTCCAGGTTTCTCATCGAAGAAGCCACGTTCTCTGCACAGAAGGGCTGTCAAGTAAGTGAGTGCAGAGGAATTCGTGAATGACCTGTCTTCTTTGTCTGCAGCCTTGGACAGAGTGAAGAGGCCGTCCCCCGAGTCCCAGAGCAGCAACCTCTGGGTCATTGTCGGTGTGGTCATTCCAGTGCTGGTGGTGATGGTGATTGTCATCATCCTCTACTGGAAACTCTGCCGCACGGACAAGTTGGACTTCCAACCTGACACGGTGGCCAACATCCAGCAGCGTCAGAAGGTAAGGGTGTAACCCCCCAGCCTTCACACGGGCAGTCATATGGCTGGGGTGGGCTGAGTTCAGGCTCTTGATACTGAAAGATGGGACAGAAAGCTGATAGGGACATTTTTTTTGGCTTTAATGGTGGTATCTCTTTGCCTCACGTTTGCTACTGGAACCATGATTCTTATGTAGTGTTAATTATACGCCAAGAAGATGAAGCTGTATCAAGGCTTGGCAGTGTTATGAGCACCGAGTTCTACTGTGATTTTATTTATGAAATGATTAGTTCAAAGATCATATCCATTTTTATATGAATTCTCATCTGTTTTAACCCTGGATATTTTCAAAGAATGGGAGCCAAGGGAGGTTTTCTCAGATCTGTGTGTCTGTTTCTTTCATACACAGTCGCACTGGACGGCTCCTTTAGTTTCCATCTACCATATGGGAAACCCACTGTCCACCTTGGTCAAGATCATTTAATCATTAAAAAAATGATACTTATATGCCTTAAATATTTTAATTTAAATATATGAGTGGGTCTGTATTAGCCAATCTTTTGATGTACCCTGAGTCTTTTTTCTTTTATATTTTATTTTTTGGACTGTTGGTTTACTGAGAGGATTCTGTTTGGTGTTTCTTGTAAGAAACAATACACCTAGGGGCACCTGGGTGGCTCAGTCAGTTAAGCGTCCGACTTGATTTAGGCTCAGGTCATGATCTCAGGGCCGTGAGACTGAGTCCCACATCGGGCACTCTATGGAGGCTGCTTGTGATCCTCTCTCTCCCTCTCAAAAATAAAAATAAAAATTAAAAAAATTAAAAAAGAAACAACACCTATAATGCATCAGCTGCAGTTTCCAGTTTGGGTTTCTTTAGAGAAGAGCAAGCAACCTGAGTGTAAAGTGCTCTAGGGTTTTTTGTTTTTTTTTGTTTTTTTTTTTGATACCCTCCCCAACTCTGTAATCTTTCAGAGCTAATTCACCTATACCTAACTTGACAGCAGTGTGTTTTTAAACATCTTTTTCATGTCATACCAAAGCATCCCATTTAGTTTTTAAAGATTTTATTTATTTGACAGAGAGAGAGAGAGAGAGAGAGAGACCGCAAGAGAGGGAACACAAGCAGGGGGAGTGTGAGAGGGAGAAGCAGGCTTCCCCCTGAGCAGGGAACCCGACGCGGGGCTCGATCCCAGGACCCTGGGATCATGACCTGAGCCGAAGGCAGACACTTAACCAGCTGAGCCACCCAGGCGCCCCCCCCCCATTTAGTTTTTATAATAATAGCAATTCTCACTTTTATGTTTCAATGATTTCTGCAATACTTAATTGTCACATACCAGTTTCAGAGCAAAGACATTGACTCTTGGTAAGTATCGAGTTTTGGTTGATCTCGTGTGAGCAGAAACATGCCAAGCACTGAAGAAGAATGCAGTAGCTGCACACATCTAGCACCCCAGGCAGTGAGCCGTTACCAAGGGGATGGAAAGCGGTAATCTGTTGACTGTGTGTGTGAATGTGTACCCTCTGTGGGTCTCACACATTTAGAGGATTTCCTTGACTCTAGAACTGTGATAAGAAAAAGCAAGGATGAGGCAGAAGAATAAGAAATAAAGGGTTGCCTGTTAACCTTTTAAATTTATTCTGTCTGGGTTTAAAAAGTTCTGCCCATTACAAACCCACACCTGCTGAATGAAAAAGTAGGTATTCTTCACTTATTGTACTTCCGTAAAAGTAAATGAAGAGTATTCTTTTTCTTATGAATGAACTAAAAATGCAAAATCATGACTCAATTGCAAGCTGATAGTTATCAAGAGTATTGGAAGCATTTTATACATTAACATTATATTTATTACCTATCTTCATTTATTATTTACAGAGTGTGCTAAGATTGTTTTGTTGTTAGACTAGATAATGCCACGGAAAACCCTGGAAAAAGTGCTGGAGGTACTAAATCATTCATAGCGTGAATTTCATTGTAATAAGATCAACAATAAGTTTGGAAATGTTTTTGTTCTGGTGAAAGAGTATTGTTGCAGAGAGATTTACCCAGTGTAGATGGTTATGTATTCAGGTCTTTCATGTTCCAGGTTCCCTAACATAAATACTCCCTGTGGAAGCCCATCCGTCATCTGTTACTTCATTCAACTGTCAGAGGACAGCATCCCTTGAGTACAAAACAGGATACTCCCCAAGTCTTCTCTTTCTCTCACTTTTACTTCTGAAATATCTTCGTGCCCCAGATGTTGCTGTAAATCAGATGGACAGAGTTTCAAACAGAACTTCCAGCCCTTGGGGTTGCTCTTGCTTTGCATGTGCTGGAGGATTTGTGCGTTCATCTTTACAACATGTCTGTCGGAAGGTCTTCTGTGTGGAGGAGTCCCTGAGGGAGTCGGCGTCTTCTGACCTGGGTAGGGGGGACTGACCTCTGTGACATTTCACAAGGGTGGTCTTTGGTTTGCTGGCACAGGAACCTACCGTATAGATCTTGTCATGTGTTTATAATAGAAAAAGGATGATCTCTGTTTAGTTTAGAAACAAGTATCTCTACTTCACAAGAGTTTCTTCTAAGATTTACCTGGCAGTGGTGAAGGGCCTCTATCTAGCCCATTCCTTGGGACAATTTGAAAAGATGCTAGTTTCCCCTGGGACTGCGAAAGTTCTTTTTCCTTCTTGTGTGACTCTCTGTTGTCTCTCTCTCTCTGTTCTGCTTGCTCTGCCCCCTGATGCTGCCTCGCTGCTACTCTCCCAGATCCTTGAGCTCTGTAATCCCAGAGCTACAAACATCTGGAAACAATACATGTGCCCACCAAAAAAAATCCACACCCCCTACCCCTTGTAACGAGCAGGAAACCTCTTCAGATTGTCTGGGAGTGGATTAGTTTTGACATACGATAAGAAGGAGAGGCCATTCTGTCTACATTTTGAGAGAGGGTCCTTTTTATTTCCAGTCATTAAAAAACAAATCTAACCCGTATCTTTCCTTTATCTGTAGTCTCTTTAAAGTCATCACTGTTTACTGGGTATTAGAAAAACCGCAGCTTGGACCCACCTCACCCTGTTGAGGTTCTGTGTAAAGAGATGAATGGCATTGGCTTGATGCTGCTGGTCCCGTGAAAACTTGTTCCTTCCGATGGGGACAGTCCACTCCCTGTGGTTGGTTGGCGTGGGACTGTGGTTCCTGACTGGTGGGTACTGCGGGCAGCCACATGGAGATGCCTTAGTCACTGCTTATCCACTCACCAAACACTGAGTGTTTGCTCTGAGCCCAAGCAGGGCCAGGCCAGGTTGTAAGCCCAGATAGCATGCAGTCCCTGTTTCGAGGGCTTCGGTAAGGGAGAAGGACTAGGGACCCGACACTGACACACAGCAGTGTTGAGTCTGTCTGGGCTGTCCTGGAAGCAGGGAGAAGGGGCAGCCACCCCGTTGGGTGGTGGGCTGCCTCTGCCTTCTGGAAAGAGGCGATGCTGGGGGGGCTCCTGGGTGCCTCAGTTGTTGGGCGTCTGCCTTCAGCTCAGGTCATGATCCTGGAGTCCTGGGATCGAGCCCCACATCGGGCTCCCCGCTCAGCTGGAAGCCTGCTTCTCCCTCTCCCTCTGCTGCTGCTTCCCCTGCTTGTGCATTCTCTCTCTCTGTCAAATAAATAAATAAATAAATAAAATCTTAAAAAAAAAAAAAAAGGCGATGCTGGGGCTGAAGCTCAGAGGTGGAGGAGATGAAGCCAGGTGAGGTGGGCCCAGGTGGAGGGAATGACCTGTATGTCAGGAATGATGGAGCAAAAGTTGTCTGGAAGGCACAGCAATAACTGTGAGGTGACAGTAGGCAAGAGCCAGGCTGGGAGGAGTTGTAGGACATATCAGGGGTCGGCAATGGTGCTGTAGGTAGTGGGGAGCCATGGAAGGATTTTCAGCAGGGACAGCAGCTTGAACATACTTATCTCTGGAATGACCACTTTGGGAGGCTGTGTGGACAGCTGATCGGAGAGAGGGAGGCTCCATGGGTGTTTGTCCCATCTCAGCCAAATTCATCTTGTCCCCTGTGGTTGCTCTTTGAGTCTCTGCAAGGACCCCGTGGCACCTAATATGTGGAGAGCTCAGTTCACCCGTGATCTGCTGTGGCCCCCAGGGGCGGGAGAGTCTTGGAGTTCTGCTCTTCTATCTCCAAGACCGCAGGGTGACTGGGGGCCCCAGGGCTGCAGCAGACACAGCAGGAACTTTGCCTTTTCTTCATCTTCTGAATGGAAACAGCACGGCGACTATGGAGACTTTTCATAGATCTCATCCACCAAATAAGAAATGGGTAGACAATCTGCTCTCTTTGAGACGGCAGATTTTTACCCAGGCACCTTTGGGGTTTGCTCTTTGATTTCTATTTTTATCTTAACTGCTCCTTCCCAGGGGTTTAGGCTAACTGGAGTTCTAGAGATTCACTCCATCTTGTTCTGCCCGGGGTTGTATTATATTTACGGCTCACATGTTTTAAAATTCATCAGGCATCTCTCCTGTTCTTTGGCTGACCTGCTTTACCCGCCTGCTCTGACTTGTCGGCGACGTTATTCCAGTGGGGCACGGACAATGGGGCCTGTCCCCTCTGTGACATATTAAAGAGAGAAGGAACAAAAGAGCTGTCTCTCCTCAGAAATAAGGGGTCCTAATGGAAATATTGAAGGCACTAATTAATTGTGGCTCTTCTTCTATAAAATACTGATTGAAGCTTATTCTGCATGTGGAAGCCGGAGACACAATACAGCCAGACTTAACTTTAGATTTTTTTTTTTTTTAAGAAATGGAAAAACTAGAAAAAAAATTCTCGAAAGTAGGGATGAAACAAAAGAGCTAATTCCATAAGTGGGCAAGGTTTCCTCTAATTTCTTCCTTCTGTGTGTGTTCTAAGATAGCTTTTGTTTTGTGCAGAAGCACAGAGTAGTTGCCAAATTTCTATTGTTGTAGAAGGTGGTGACTCACCCTGCCAGTGAGAAGTGCAAGGATCTAATGGAGATATTTGAAAATGTTAGTAGGAATCAACAGTAAGCCCACAGGGCTTTTATGGACTTATATTTTATTGATGACATATACCCTTTTTCATGGCTCCCCACAAGATCCAGCGAGTTTGGAGCTTCAATTTACTTTTTAAAATTGATTTAGTCATCAAATATTTATGGACGGTCTACCATGTGTCACACCCTGTTGCTGAATTATAAAATTTCGTATCTAACTTCATAGCTTTTATCTGATGGCTGAGAATGCTTAGGCATTTATATTAACTGCTTGATGTTTCATCATCCAACAGCAATAATAATGAAGCATTTTGACGTATACATACGCTTGTTTCTTGCGCGAACCTGAGAGTTTGTCAGGGTAGACCAGTAGTATTAACTCCTAGACTGGGGGTACACTGAATGCACCACAGAGGTAGAGCTGTTTGTATTTTTCCCTTATTCACTTGGAGACCTCTACTTGGAAGAGGCAATCTATGCTCTTCCTTCAATTTTGGTAAAGCAGATCATCTGCTTTGCAAAAGTGATTGTCTCTTGGTCGTTGGAGGCATTTAGTTTCTTGCTGGGAAATACACTAAACAAGGTTTTACCAAGATTTATTAAATGGTGTTGATGGTGTTGACTCAGTGACTATTGATTATCTCTGTGATTTTTTTCATTTAGAGGTAGCTTGTTAATGAGCTACCATGAGGTGCGGCTGGGTAAAGGCTCCCATGTGGGTGAGAGGGGCACCTCTCTTCTGTAAAGCAGGAGAAGGACCCTTATAACGGGAGGCGGGAAATGGGAACCAGCCCAATGGCCAGACTACAGGCACACTCTCAGGAAAATCACTTGTAGTGAAGAGCATACACAGAGCTTATCCATCTGAACTTAGACGGTCCTAAAATGGCTGCATGCCCCTAGGAAAACGTACACCCCCAGGGATTCAGGGAGCCCTGCTGAAGATGACAGTCTTGTGGATGAGGAGATAAGAGTATCCTGAGTGGTTGGAGGGCCGGGGGAACCAGAGAGGGGCAGGTTTGGGTTCATATTCGTGAAGGAGTGTTCCTGAGCCAAGGACTGTGTGGAGTAGCTTGCTCTTGTCACATGACATCATTAATTTAGAAAATACAGCCCACCAGGTCTTTATCTTTTGTTTCCAAGCAACATCTTTGTAAACTACATTTAGAGTAAGTTTTGTCCCCCTCTGCTGGCAGAAGTCATTATTGCAGACTCCTTCCCTTGTCTTCACTGACTGTAGACTTGCAGTGCTAAAAAAGACCTTTGAGATCACGAATGGAAGCCATTGGTATTGTCACTCATTTGGCATAAAATTAACACAGATATGGCAAAACCTTTTGCTTCTACATAACACATTGTCTAAAATAGCTCCTTAGGTTGGTTTGGCCTTTGTCTTTGACAGATGGACTCTCTCTAGGGGTGGAGTACAGCGGAGATAAGGGCTTTGGTTGTGCATGTGGCCTTCATGCCAAGGAGGCCCTTGGGACAATTATTGAAATGCAGTTTAGTTTCCTATACTCTGCAAGCTCAAATTAATGATTCATGATTACCCCCCCTACACTTTTAGGGTCCCCACAAATGGTGCCTCACCTTTATTGCCTACAGTTCTCTGTACTTGGAGCACATTTCCTGTGTTAGCACAGGAAGCTAGAAGTTGAGGTCTGGACTCCGTGGTGACAGGGGTCTGGGTTGTGGGTTTGGTGTTGCTACCGTGTATCTCAGGTAGGACTTCTGCGTCCCCCAGTGTGAGAAGTGGGCTTTTTTGAAGACCCCTTTCTCTTTCCTCCTTGTGCCCCCAGTACTTCTGTTGGCCACTCCTTTCTAGAAATTCTGTATCCCCTTGCCTTCTGTTACATTGAACTTTACAAATTCTTTTTTTTGAAGTCATCTATTTTTTCCTTGCCTCCTTTTCCTCCTTTGAGCCCCAAACTATTAGATGTTCCCCAACATTTTATCCACAGACTCTGTTTTCATCTTGAAAAATCTGAGAAAAAAAATCTCAGGTCCCCTACCTGTCATCTTCTGTATAGATTCTCTCAAAGTCCTGTCTCCAGCCTGAAATTTCCCCCAAGCTATTGTCCTCCGTGTCCAGCTACACGGGGCTACTCTCCTTTGGAGCTTTTCCTGCCATCTCAAACTAAGCATGTCTAAAGTGAAACCTGTCTTTTTATCTCCTCAGGTTACCATTCTTTCATGATAAATGTCCCTTCCCCTGTTCAGGATGCCGGCCTATAAGTCATTCAAGTCATCATTGGCTGCTTTCCCTTTCCCTCCTCTGCCTCTTGTGTCTATTTTTGGCTTCCAGATCCTTCAGCCCAGTCTCTAGAACTATTCATTCCTTTGCTAGGGTTTAGGGCTCAGGCTTTTGTCATTTTTTGCATGGGTATTGTTGGCATGTGTGTCCGGCAGCCCTGTGTGTCCTGTCTGCTTGGATTTTAGAAATCTTCCTCTTCAGAAATATTTAGTGGTTTCCTGCTCTAGAAACTGGCATTTGGTGTTGGCCAGCCTTCTCTCCCTCCCCATATTCTGACCCTTCTAGGTCAGCTGATGGGGTGTCTTCCAAGGCCTCAGCTGCTCTCTGGTGCCTGACTTGATCTAGAACATCCTCTGTGTACCTGCCCCTTTTCATTTCCAAGTTCTGCCTGTCCCGTGAATCCTGACTCAAGTCTTCATTTCTCTATAAAGAATCTCTCGCTCGTGCCACTGTCTCTGGAACCGCGTGATCATGCTACCGTGATGGTGGGTCAGGCAGGTATCGTCTTGTGATGTCTTTTGTACTAAGGTCTAGCTGTTTGATCCCGTACTCTTCTTTAATCTTTCGCAAGTATCTGTCTTTTCTGCAGACTCTAGGTGTGAATGGCACTGTGCACACAGTCGACGTTTTAGAGATGCTTGTTGAATTAGAATGATGGGATGGCAGGCATGATCTTGGGTCAAAGTCAGCACTCAGCAATCTTGCCAGCTCTCACAATCCCTTTTTACCGTCCTCAGCTTTCAGATTGACTGTCTCCGCTTGTGTGTGTGTGTGTGTGTTTTAGTTGCAGATCCCTAGTGTGAAGGGCTTTGATTTTGCTAAGCAGCATCTGGGTCAGCACAATAAAGACGACATCTTGATTATTCATGAGCCAGCACCACTGCCGGGACCTGGACCGGTGAAGGACCACACCACGCCCTCTGAAAACGGAGATGTGCCGAGCCCCAAGGCAAAGATCCCTTCCAAGAACCTCCGTCACAGAGGAAGGTTCTTATCAGGCTTTCTGTATTGTTCCCTATCACAGAGCATGTTTCCCTTCTCAGTTTTGTCAGTTTCCAGTATCAGAAGAGCTGGTGGTGAGTATTCCCCTGGGTGTGCAGCCTGGGAGACTGGCAACAGCTTGCCAAAGTCCACGAACCACAGGGCTCTCGATCCACTCCAGTGGACCACCAGAGGCAGCCAGATGCTTTGGTGGTCCCACCCCCGAGACCTGATTAGATCTTGCCTAGCTCGAGCGGGTATACTCTGGGGTGATCGTTCTGAGCCCTCTGGAGATGATATCAGAAGTAATGTCTAAAAAGTGCATGGCACATAATACACACTCAGCCTGTACTGCCTTTGCCTTTGCTGCTATTACCAGTGGCTGGCTTTGCCTTCCTTGCTTCGTCTGCGGGTGACTTTCATCACATCCTTTATTCTTGGCTTGCTTTCCCTCTGGCCGGCTGTGCTGTCACCCTCATTAGCATGTTTCCATGGACTCGGCATTGCCTCCTCCCTGCCCAGCTCCCCATCCCCAGTGTCTTTCCATTCCTCCTATCAAAGGGAAGCGGGCTGAGGGCTTCGTGTTAACACGCCACCTGGAAGTTCCCCCTCACCCTCTGATCCTAGGAGAAGGGCTGTAGCTGGGTGGAAGTTCAGAATCAGGTTTTATGCAGCTGCCTTTAGATCTCAGCACAATCACACTAGGGTATGGAAGCCTCAAATTATTAGCCTGCCTTTGAGCTTTGAACTCCAAATCTTGATTTCCTGTGAAGACGGAAGAAATGTGTGATCATACCAACATTTGAAACGCTGTCACAGTTTCTACCCCGGGGGGTTCTGGCCTAGTTTTAACAATTTAATGGATGTTACACCATGATCTCTACAAAAGAAAATGAATTATGTCGAGAGATGTTATTTGCTTAATCATCTTGCAGGCTAAGAATAAATCAAATCACATTAAAGACTGTTGAATATGTTAGTATAATTTTGCCAAGTTTTTTTTTTTTTTCCTCTTCCCTTGGTCGTCTCATCCTAAACATTTAGATGCAACATTTCAGTGGTCTGCATGGTTAATGTAGGGCTTTAGCATCCCTCAGGGGCACCAAGAGAAGGGGTGCTAACAGGTTAAGGACTTTCATTAGCCTCCTGCAACCTGGTTTTGTGTCACCCTTGCTTTTGATAGATTCACAGCTCAGGGGTGATCGTTGCTTTTGTGTTGTAAGTATAGGCTTCTCCCAGAGCTCTGGGGTTCTGTGGGGGTGACGATAGGACCACCCTGGGTTCCCAGGGATTCTGCAGTCCCTGTTGACCGGGAACCAGGCCGGAACCCCAGATCTTCTGATACAATCTATGCCAGACCCAGACTACCAATCCAGGGCCCTGGTAACTGTGGGTTACCATCCTCCAGTCTGGCCCTTAGCTTCCTGGCATTCCTTGGAATGCAGCCTGCTGAGCCAGAGAAGCCATGTGGTACTGTCTTCAAGAGGGGACCATGTGCTAGCAACGTTTTCCTTGAAGATGATTTTTGGGAACTGTCTCATTCCTATCTGTTTTGCCTGGAAGCCTGACTTCCACATCTAAATTAATGTGACCTCTCCCCACCTCCCCCCCCCACCCCCCCAGGCCCTTTCTTTCTTTTTCCTAATGTTTGCATTTGTTCTGTGACTGCAGAGTTTCTCCCTCGGATGCTGACTCTACCGTAAGTGAGGAGTCCAGTGAGAGGGACGTGGGAGACAAGACGCCGGGAGCAGTGAATGATGGCCAGCCCCACAGAGCCCCACAGAGCGGTCTGTGACTCTTCTCATTCTCCACGTTCAACGTAGTAATGATGAGATTCCAGTAGGATAAGGTTTTATGCTACTTCAAATGCTAGACACTAAAAAAAAAAAAAAAATCTGCAGTGGAATACTCATCATCCGTATGGTGAATTTCTCAGCATCGACTGTCACTGTCTAATGTCGTCCTAGTGTCTTTGTTGAGGCGGGAGACCGTGCTGGAGGTTAGGGGTTCACTCAAGTATGTTTTGAGGTGAATAGCCATGTTCTGTTCTAGTTTAGAGTCCTAATGGTTTTCCTCTCCGAAGAACAGGAGGACCCAAACTAAAACCAGAGTCTCAAAAACTACCTCCAGAATTTAGTGACCTTCTTAGGATCCAATTCTGGATTTTTCTCAGCTGTCACTGCCAGGAAGTCATTTATTTATCATGGGTCCAAATGCATTCTGTTTGGTCCTGTTCTTAGATCCTTCTTCCCGCAGGGATTTCAGTGAGGCCGAATGGGGTAGCACATTTATATCTATTGTCTGTGGGTTTTTAGGCCAGGTCTGAAATGAACTTCATGTCCACCTCGAAGGACTTTACCGTGGAGCTCGTGCTCTGTTATCAAACTAAGCCCACAGGTCTAACTAGCCTTAGGAGCATTTTTTGCTGTGATGGCGAGGTAGTTTGGTTTTAGTTTAACAAATTTCGTAAATAAATGTGCGAGTGCAGCTCTTGTATTTGCTGGAGTTTTATTTATACCTCGGGACTGTTTCAGTAATGCAAAGAAAAGTGGGATACCTCAGGATATTATTTTTAATAGTAATTTTTATACTTAAACATTTGTCTTCACAAATTTCTTTGTTTGAAATGCAGTACAGAGTGAATTGTATTCTGTAAATGAACAGATTCTAGCTGGAAGCCAGAGGGCCTGATCTGTCACCGTCATGCGTGTGATCTTGCGAGTCCCTCAGCCTTTGGGGCTTCTGTGGGACTAACCTAGCTCATTTCTGAAATTCCTTCCAGCTCCTTTTTGATGTTAAAGAAAACCCCCTTAGAATAAGGGAAGAGTTTTTTCACAGAATCTTAGAAGTTATTTAGCACCATGGTAACAGGTGCTCTGTTTCAGATAGACAGGACTAAAAATCTAATTTTGATTCCAGGAAGGAAATATTTGAGGGGGAAAAAAAAATCAGTTCTGGAGTTTCTCTGTTTCTGTTAATTGCTTATCTGAGAAAATCTCGCTTTTAGTTCCCACATTTAACTCCTGACAGTTTTAGTATATTCTGCATGGCTGACACAAATCAAAAGTCACTATCATTGTATATTCAAAATCCAGGTAGTGAGCATGTGAGGTGTAGGACTGAGTTGCCTGTGGAAGGAGGCAAGTGCGTTAGATGTTTTTGTGAGTTCTAGAAGCTTAGCTGCTGCTATTATGATTTGGAGAGACACCACAGTCTGCACATTATTTTCATGTTTTAGAAAGATGATTTTCTCACTATAAATATCAATTCACTTGGAAGATTTTATTTATTTCTGTAAAGCTTCCATGAAGGCATTTTATTGCTTGCATAGAACTTAATTAAATACCCTGTAGAAAAGATTGTGAGTTTCTAACCCCTCCTCCGTGTTGCCCTGGGGCCAGTGTTGCCTCTCATCAAGCAGGTGGCATGGCCACCGGGTCCCCTCTGCCTCCTTGGCGAGGCTTTCGATGGATATCACAAGTCATCTGACATTTCCAGGACCCACATGGCAATATAGCTGAGAAAAGAGCATTGTTTTGGTTTTGGTCTATTAGAGGTCGTGCTTTACTCCCTTCCCAGCTGACTGTTTTTGGAAGGCGGCTAGAGCATAATGCATATATGACCGCCCATGGATGGACCCTTATGAGGTTATTGACTCAGATATCTGTCACTGTGTTCACGGTTATCACGGTTTTAGAATAAGTCGCGTCATTACCAAGGGTTCCCTTTAGCAGAGCTGTCAAGAGTGAGACGAGTTAGGGGGGTGACGCACCTTCCTCGAGTGAAGGCAGCGGCCTTCAGACTGTTACTGTGCCACCACTGTGGTGTCCTTGCATAATGTCGCGTCCCCTTTCCTTCTGTCATCAGGAATTCCCCCCCCAGTAGGTAAGGACTGCGAAACACGTTGTGCAAGGGTGTGATTTTTAAGTAGTTGGAACTTTATTAATGAGAATTCCACAAACTCCGAATTCTAGAATGGAATTCTTAGTTGGAACTAAGCTGACATCTACCTTGGCATGTGCTGAAGAGTTTGCAAAGAAGGGGCGCCTGGGTGGCTCAGTCCGCTGAGCGTCCGACTCCGGGTTTTGGCTCAGCTCAGGATCTCAGGGTCCTGGGATTAAGCACTATCTAGGGCTCTGTGCTCAGTGGGGAGTCTGCCTGAGTATCCTCTCCCTCTGCCCTTCCTCCTGCTTGCTCGCACACTCTCTCTATCAAAGAAATAAATCTTAAAAAAAAGTTGGCAAAGCAAAGTAATAGTTTCAGAGATTGCAGGGCAACTGTGTTGACTACCTGTCACATCAGGGTTTTTCAAATAATTGTGGAGTGCTTATTTAGGAAATGATTTGAGGTCATAAATTAGAATTCTTTGTATTACAGCAGATCCCCAGAGGCCTCTTTGAGGTAACATTTCATGAACTTAGCTGAGGTGACTGGTTGTTTAGTCCTGCATTCAGCAAATGGGTGCTCAGGGCCTGTGGTGGGGGAGGCGCTGGAACAGGATGAAGAGGGAGAGAGAAATGGGATCCCTGCCTCACCAGATATTAATGGGGGCCACGGGCCTTAGGGATAACGCACTTTGACTGTATTCACCTATAGATAATGAAGTTCGTATTTCTTGAGAAGTGTTCCATTGCTTTAGCATTTTAGCAGTGCACGTTGCCCTTCCCTCTGTCATTCTGCTTTGTCGACGTTATCCCGTACTCTAATTTCTATAATTACAATTTTTTTTTCGTTTTGTAATATTTGAATAGAAATGGGTTTTAATCCAAAGTCTCTAATTTACCTTAAGGCAGATTCACACAGATTAATCTCTATGTATCAAGTTGTGCTTGCCATTGGTTATTGTTGTCCAGGCTGTTTTTTTTTTAAAAAATAAATTATGCAGTACATAGCAAACAATAAAAATAACCCAGTTATAAAATATGTATTTTTGGGTGCCTGGGTGGCTCAGTTGGTTAAGCGACTGCCTTCGGCTCAGGTCATGATCCTGGAGTCCCGGGATCGAGTCCCGCATCGGGATCCCTGCTCAGCAGGGAGTCTGCTTCTCCCTCTGACGCTGTTCCCTCTCGTGCTCTCTATCTCTCATTCTCTGTCTCTCAAATAAATAAATAAAATCTTTAAAAAAATATGTATTTTTAATAAAAAATATATATATGTATATATTAGAAAGGCTGGGTTCTGAGCAGTATGGAAGCTCGAGGATTTTCTGGGCTTCTCGTGCGTCTCTGGTTGCAGTGGTGAATTATGGAGTGACGAGCCATGACCATGGCTGGGGGCTGGCAGGGGCACAGACAGGAGCCAGGCACAGGCCTGCAGCTCCCAGGTACCCAGGCAGGCAGATAGCACTGCGGGGTGGTGGGGGTTGTATTCTTCCTTTGTCATCTGCGTGTCCTGGTCCTTTCACCCTCCTGGAGGAAAGCGGTCTCACCTTTAAGTATCAGTAGCTTAATGGGCCCCCCTTTGTGACATTTGCTGCTACATTGTAAGTCTGGGTTAGCCAGGCTAGCCTATCTGGAGAAGCTAATTACCTCCTTTTAGGCATCGAGCCTGTAATTTGAGTAGCTGCCCCTGGATGAATGGTGGTGCCCGGCTGTGCTTGTGTTGCACAAATAGGCTCCCTCCGGGCCCAGGGCAGGGAAAGAAAGCCCCAGAATAGCCTGAATCGAGACAACTATAACTCCTCACTAAGGGAGTCGTCATTCATTCACAGTGCCATAAATCATTTCTAATCGTGTGGGGTAACGAATGAATATAATTCACATTGAGAGGAAGTACAAAGACTTCCATACCACTGATGTGCATACATTCCTTATGTAAAATAGCTGTTACTATTTTTTACTGTTTTGCTCAATTCTATTTTATTTTATTTTTTTTTTAAAGATTTTATTTATTTATTTGACAGAGAGAGACACAGCGAGAGAGGGAACACAAGCAGGGGGAGTGGGAGAGGGGGAAGCAGGCTCCCCGCTGAACAGGGAGCCCGATGCGGGGCTTGATCCCAGGACCCCAGGATTGCGACCTGATCAGAAGGCAGACGCTTAACCTACTGAGCCACCCAGGCGCCCCTCTATCTTGTTTTATATCAAGGAGAAACCTCTATATTTTTCACTTGCGCTTGAATCAACCTCAGGCTTTTGTTTGAAAACAGATTCCACATGCTCTCACTCCTTCTCATGGCCTCTTGGCCATTTATTTTAAAGCAGTGTCCAGGGTGCTCGGTTAAGCGTCTGCCTTCAGCTCAGGTCATGGTCCCAGGGTCCTGGGATCAAGCCCTGCATCGGGCTCCCTGCTCAGCGGAGAGTCTGCTTCTCCCTCTCCCCCCTACTTGTGCTCTCTCTGTCTCTCTCTTGCTCTCTCCAATAAATAAATAAATAAAATCTTTAAAGTAAAAAAAAAAAAGCAGCGTCCGGAGGGTTCAGAGAGTGGCTGTGGCTTATCAGAGGGAGTGCTTCCCAGTAGCTCCGTTGAGCTCTTTCCATCTCTTTAGCCCTTCTGCATCTCTCGCTCTTTGCCTTTATAAAAGTAAAGTTTATTGGGATTATTTCTACCGTAAAAGTCATACTCGTTAAAGAACATCCTCACTAGAGAAAATGCAAGAAATTGGAGAAAATCACCCATTACACCAAGATCCAATCTCTGTTTTCTTTTTTGAAGTTCTGATTACTTTTCTAACATGTTCCAGGTAGTAAAATATACATGCCATACAGTTTCCCCTCTTGACCATTTTTTAAAAAGGATTTTATTTATTTATTTGAGAGAGAGCGGGAGAGCAGGAGCCCAACATGGGACTCAACCCCAGGACCTGAGATCATGACCCGAGCCGAAGGCAAATGCTTAACCAACTGAGCCACCCAGCCCCCCCCTCCACGGCCATTTTTAAGGGTACTACTCTTCTTTTTTTAAAGTTGGAATGAATGCCCCGCAGACAGCAGCTTTTTCTCCTCGAGGCTCTTCACCTTGGTTTTCTTCGTGCATCAGAACTGAAAGGCCAGACGTGTTCAGTGTCTGCATGTCCACACTCCCCTCATCTTCTGTCTTTTCCCCAGTATAACTGCCTCGGTGACTACGTTTATATCTCTCCAAATGAGAGCGGAAGTTCCCAGCTGCTGTCAGTGTTAACTTAAAAGTTCTGCAAGCCGCTTAGTGACTCACTGCGCAGCGCTTGCGCTTTCCCTTCCCCTCCTGAAGACTTTGAAACGCCTTTAGACAAAACAGGGCAAGTTTTGGCACCAAGTAGCATGACGATTGATTATTTGCTGTTTCTTCAGGATGGCTTTATTTATTTTTGCTTTTGCTTCTCCTTCTGCTCCAGGGCCACCGCCGCCCAGTTCGGGGAACGAGCAGCACTCGTCAGCCTCCATCTTTGAGCATGTGGACAGGCTGTCCCGGTCCTCAGAGGCCAGCAGGCGGGTTCCCAGTAAGATACAGCTGATCGCCATGCAGCCCATCCCGGCCCCTCCGGTTCAGCACCCCGTACTGGCTGACCGGGTGGCAGAAAGCAACAAAATTAACAAGGAGGTATTTGCTCTTTTTTAAGAAGTCCATTTATTAAAAAAAAAAAAAAATCATATTCTGATTTGGTCACTGCTTAAAAACAGGTGGAAATTGCTAAAGGTAGGAGCTGCTGACAAGTATTCGTCATTTTAAATATCAAGCTGAGTTTTTGTTTAGATCCAGTGCCGTTCAAGGACACCGTTAGGTGTACGGCAGACATGCAGAGAGTTAACATAGCAAACCCGAGCCTCCTATCCTTCAGAAGTCCTGCGATGGCCCTTGGCTGATGTTTGGGAACTTACGTTTCAGAAACATTCCCATTATTCCCAGAACAGAGTGGCTCACTGTGCCCAGATTGTTTATGCAAACAGTATGACTTATCTGAACATCTCTTTTCCTTCTGGCACTCTGGAATTTTGGCACATGCTCTGCAGAGGGAGCCTGTTTTACCAGCCCCCAGGACGAATCCTGGGCATTGCAACTCCAATGGGCTTCCTTGGTGGACATTTCACATGTGTCATCACAACTCATTGCTGGAGGAAGGAAGCAACATTGTTCTGTGTGGCTCCCCTGGGGAAGGCCTCCTATAAGCTTGCTCCTGGTTTCCTCCGGACTTCACCCCACATGCCATTTCTCTTTGCTTATTTTGATTTGCATCCTTTTGCTATAATAAATGGGACTAACTGCTGAATCCTATGAGTTTTCCTAATGAACCTTTGAACCTGGGGTGATCTTAGGACCACTGTAGACTTTGTGATCCCTGATAGATCTACTCTGGCCCTAAGGATCTAGTAATACCTAGTAAAATCTGACTCCAGTGAATCCTGGAAGAGTGAGTTAGATCCACTTCTCTCCTGAGATTTTGGTAACTAGAAGGCCAGTCCAAGTCACTGTTAACTTGACCTTGAGAGATTTGACCTGGGCCGGACAATGAGTGGCCCAAAGGCCATTTAGGATTGCACATAAGGCAGCTCCATGTCTGTCCATTTCCTGCCTCTAAGAAACACCTGCTACTGTTGTGAGTTCTGCCAGGGTGAAGTAGTAGGAAATTGGTATAGTTGCAACCCCCTACCCGCTTTAAAGGTGATCCTTAAAGTAGATCATCTTACAGAAGTCCTATCAAGAGTTCTTAACGGTCTTTCCTTCTTTTGCTAAGAATGTGCACTGTGGGTTTAGGATGGTGTGCACTGCCTCTGCTCACCTTTGCTGGGGAGCGCCAGCCCTGCACAGCCCCCGGCCTAACCTAGACCTGTCTCCTGCATCTCGAGTTGCATGTGCCTCTGTGCTTACCATGTGTAAGCACCCTAAAGTGGATTCTCCGTGTGCCGGAAGGAAAGAAGGGAGTATGCTCACCAGGCCTGTGGCCCCACAGCTTGCTAGCGTACATCTGTTTTTCTTTTACTCTCTTTTTAAAATGTAGTATTTGATGCATACGTGGGCTACGGGACCCCGCCCGTAGCTGATGGCAGGTTCTCTGTCCCCGTGTGTGTGTGGCTGTCCATGTCTCCCACTTTGGGGCCTCCCGGGAGCCTGGGAGGGCCATCTGGGGGAAAGGAAACGCCTTCCCAAGATGCTCTCTCCACGGGGGGGGGGGCCCCTTCGGGAACATTCCATGTATCTCCCTTGTCTTCCCTCGGCCGTGCAGATCCAGACGGCGCTGCGGCACAAGTCCGAGATCGAGCACCATCGGAACAAGATCCGGCTCCGCGCCAAGCGCCGCGGGCACTACGAGTTTCCGGTGGTGGACGACCTGTCCTCGGGCGACACGCGTGAGCGGCACCGTGTGTACCGCAGGGCGCAGATGCAGATCGACAAGATCCTGGACCCCACGGCCAGCGTGCCCTCGGTGTTCATAGAGCCCAGGAAGAGGTGCGCGTCCCGAGCAGGGCTCCCCGAGGTTTGCCTGTGGGGGCGCCCACGGCTGTGCTCCTGCTCCGGCTGCTCTCATTCACCACCCTGCCCCTCCTCTTGCCCCTTATTCCTGGGTTTACTCTGCCTCCTCGAATTCAGCTAGTTGAAAATGGCAGTCGCCCTTTCTTTCTCAGATGGTTCCCCCTGGTTTCCCTCCTCCGTCTCCCCCCATCCCACTCTCACTCCCAGTACCTTCCCCTCCTCTGGGTGGGCAGGTCCATTTCTTTTCCCACAGCTGCCCTCAGAGTCTTGGTCTCTTGGTCTTCCAGACCCCTGTCCTAAGGCGCATGCGTTTTCTCTAATCACTGCTCTCATTTGTGTCTTGCTCTGTTCAAGACCTGTAATGGCTTTGGTTACCTGCCATGTGGAACCAGCGCTCCGGTAACAGGCGGGGCCCTGCCTCTCCATTCTGTCTGCTTTCCACCGCCCGGCAGTGTAGACAGTGTCTCCCCGTTAGCTGGTCCCCTCATTCCGCCCCCCACCCACATTCATCTGCTTCCTGTTTCTGGCCCTCAGGATGCTGGTGCCTGCACCTCACACCCTCTCCCCATATCCCTCCTCCTCTGTAGATCATACTTGCTTTTTAAGACCCAGGTCAGGCCCTATAGCCAGCCACGGTATCAGTAGGTCACACTGACCTTGCCCTTTTCTGAATGTCTGAAAAAAAGTCATGGTATTTTATTACCTTACATGATTCCCTGTTGTTCCATGCATTTAATATGCTCAGGTAGACTGTGGCTTTCTTGTAGCAGAGTCTGTGTCTTACACATTGTTTGTATCCTGTGGGGTGTTTACCACAGTGGCCAGCACATCCCAGATGCTCAGAAAATACTTAGTGTTTAGTTGATAAACTACTGGCAGGAAGGTTTATTTCCTATGAAGATAACCTCTTCCCACCCCACCCCCACCCCACCCCGGAAGCTCCAGGATAAAGCGATCTCCCAAACCACGCCGGAAACACCAGGTCAATGGCTGCCCCGGAGATGCTGAGAAGGACAGACTCATCACCACAGACAGCGATGGCACTTACAAAAGGCCCCCCGGTGTCCACAACTCCGCCTACATTGGTTGCCCAGTACGTAATGCTGCTTCTCGCTTCTGGGGTCAGGGTGGGGTGGCTCTTAGGGGAAGGAGAGTGAACAGTGGCGGCCAAGGCCCTGCGCTGTCGTGTTGCCAGATGACTGACACTCCAGGGCCAGCTGGGCCGTGAGGCCTGGGGGGAGGGGGCCGGTGGGCTGCTCCTTTGAGGGGAGACGTGAGTCACAGAGACCAGCAGGCTGCTGAGTGAGCCCCTGGAAATGTAACTCTTGTGTCGGTCCTTTCTGTGTGCAAGTCCTGCTGTCGTGTGCTTCGGGATGGGTCCTCCTTGAGGTTAACTGGGAAACAGAAGTTTGTTTTCTTTTTCTTTTCTTTTCTTTTTTTTTTTTTGTCTTCCCCTGGTCAGAGAGTTGTTTGGGTTTCTTGGTAATAGGAAGGATATTTAGGGTTTTGTCTCTCCCTTCTGTTCCTGGAGTGCTAAGAAGGTATTTTCTCTCTCTGTGTGTGTGTGTGTGTGTGTGTGTGCACGTGTATAATTTTAATGGAAGAAAAAGCTTAATGGAAATTAAAAAATACAGAATTGGGTGTTTTTGTTTTCAAATGGAAAGGGGCCCACTCTGAACTGCTTGAAGTGCTCAAGGCAGACATTGATGGCTTTAAGGCACCCATACACAGACCCCATTGAGTAGGGAAGAAAGGGCCCGCCTCCCCACGGGTCTGCGAGACACCCCCAGACAGAGAGGGAGCTCCAGATGTGGCTGCCTCTAGCAGTGCCAGACACACAGTGGATACCGGTAGCCTTGTGCTGGGGCAGGCCTGGCTCATAGCACAAGACCCCTTCCTCCTTCCAGAGATACACAGAGGCATTCTTGTTTAAATTTTTTTTTTTTTAAGATTTTATTTATTTGAGAGAGAGAATGAGAGAGAGAGTATGAGAGGGGGGAGGGTCAGAGGGAGAAGCCCACTCCCTGCTGAGCAGGGAGCCCAGAGGCATCCTTGTTTAGAGAGAAATTAGCAAGAGGAAAAACAAAACAAAACAAAACAAACCCACATCCTTGGAGAAGGGGTTTGTGATGTACGTGATCACTTTGGAGAGAGCTTGTGTACCCTTAGCCATTGTCTCCTAATTACACAAATAACTAACCCTGAAAGATGTGAAACCTGATTATACAAATCTGCCAAACACCACACTGACATTGGGGCTAAATATCATTGAATCGTGGTCATCTGAAAGAACCAGACTTTTCCTTGGCAACTTCCTGTATTTCTAGTGTCCTAAAGACTGGCCGCGCCTGTTTATGAGGATTGGTGCAGTCCCAGAGGGGTGCAGGGTTGTACAGACTCAGCTGCTTTGCTCCTGACTCGGGCTGTTTTGGAAGGCTGTGACTGAGTTCCTAAGATCGGGGAGCCGGTCCCGGCAGTTCTTACAGCAGATGGAGCTCTTGTACTGCTGTTGTGCTTTGGACAGGTGGTTGTCTCGGCGTCTGTGGTGTTTGGCTTCATCTGGGAGGACTGTCCCCTTAGCTCCCCAGGATGTTCACTTGTTTGGCTTTTGTCTCCCCCCGGGACTTGCAGGCCTGATGTGTGAAACCAATGACTAGAAGAAGGGGGCATTCCTTCCCCCCAACCCCCTTACTTCCCTAGCCAGCCAGGGCTCATTCCCTCAACGAAAATCTGCACCAGTGCTATTTCAATTCTGTCCCCTCTTTTTTTTTTTTTCTAAAGAACCCCTTAGTTCTGTCATCTGATGCCATTGGGTCTTGTGTCTTCCCCTTGATCTCTCCATTTGTCTTCATCAGTAATCCAAAATCAGGCCGCCTTCAGGGGGGGCCTGGATCGTCTTTTCACTTCTTGCTTTTTTTTCTCAGCAGCAAGTGCAGAGGTTCCTCCGAAAGCTGGTGGAAATAAACCCTGCCCTGGAGAGCACCACCTCAGTCAGCTGGCTTCATTTCTCAGAGATTCCCTAAAATGAAATTTTTCTCAGATGGACTTTTTACTTTCTATAAAAATTCTAAAACACATGCTCTCAAAGATAATGCCTTTTTGTGGAACTCACTTTTTCTTAGGTAGTATTTCATCTTGAAGATTTTACTACACATACATGTTTTTTTCTTAAATTTTACACTTCACCCTCAAAATATTTTCTCCTTATGAGCTCTTTTCTCCTAGGGCGAAAGAAATATTCCTGTATTTCTTGGCAGCTAGGGGTTACCATTATAATTCAGGCCTCAGCACACTGTGGCCCTCAGGCCAAATCCGGCTAGCGACCAGTTTCTGTGACGTTTTATTGGAACACTGTCATGCGCGTTCATCTGCGTGTTCTCTCTGGCTGTTCTCGCTGAGTGGTAGACTTCCATAACAGAGCAACAGAGACTGTATGACTCAGAGCCTACGATATTTGCCATTTGGCCCTTTTCGGAAAAAGTTTGTATACCCCTGATCTAATTTATCATCCAAACCTGACACCTGGGAGCGTGATAGAAGGTTCTATTAATGATTATATTGGGACAGCAGGCATAAGCTGAGACTGTCCTCGGCCAGTCAGGGTATCTGATCATACATCCTCTCTGATGACTGAAGGTAAAAAAACAAAAACAAAAACTTCCTATGTATTTCTCAGGAATGATAGGTGGATGCATATCTTTACAAAGGAAACAAATTGACCAATAATGAAGCTATCAGACTGAGACTCACGAGAGCGGAATTCAAATTCCAACGGGGATTCTGGATAAATCTTAACGTCCATAGACCACTGTTACCCATTTATTACTCAGTACCACCTATCTGTGAAACACTGTGCAGATGTTGGGATATAGAAGAATGAACAAGACCTCTTCTTGGCCTGCAAGGTGCTGGTAGTGGAGCCTCCCAAACGAGGAGCCTGTTAGAGGTAGAAAGAACTGGAAGCTATGATGTCATGGCTCCGTAGCTCTTTGCCTTCTTGGCAGGATTCATGAGTCCCACCTTCACAGCTTCACAGTGTATTTCTTGCTGTAAAAGTTAAAACCATTGGAATCTCAGTTCGGGCCTGCAGTTTTTTATGTGGCCGCACGCTCGCTTCCTTGCCGTGCAGTGTTCTAAAACAAAATTCAGCTGAGTAAATTTAAAGATCTCATTGGCTTTCTTCAGGAGTTCATGAATCAGGCAGCATCCCACCCAGCAAGTAGAAAGGAGCTCCGAGGGGTGGTACAAAATGGAAAGTTTTTATAGACCGAAGGGGGGGCAGAAAAGGAAGTTTTCTAACAAAGAGTGGATTGTTTCAGGCAAGGTCACCTTTCTTTGGGGAAAGGGGGGAGGGGGTCTGTTGTGCAGATTACCTCACTCGTGCTGATCAGGAATTTCCAGATTGACCGGTTAAAGGTCACATTCCTGGGAGAGGCTGAAAGTGCGGTCAAGTCTTGCTTTGCTCTCTGGGGGCAATGACTCCATTTTGGGCCGGTTGTTGCTCTCTTGCTTTCTTTTTTGTTTTTTTTTTTGAAGAACAGCTACCTAGCCATTTACTGGAACCACCAGGAGCATCGCTTCTGTCTTTGCAGAGACCCTTTCACTTACCAGTGGGATGTATTTACAGAGACACTTTTCCTTTTGCTCTACTGTGGACTGTTAGGTTGGTGACACACTCCTGGCTTCAGTCTTCCGTCTCTACTCCCCAGGAAAACCCAAGAACGGGAGAAGGGCCTGTGCACGGACCTTTTATCCACCTCACAGGGAAAGGGCCACAGAGTTCTTCCAGGGCTCTGTCACAGATCCAAGAGCCCTTTGGGGCTCCAAATCCTTACTTAGAATCCCTAGGTGACAGATGTCACTTAGTAGAACCTTTCCTGCGATAGCCCAGTTTTAAGGAAAGACTTCCGGGACCAGGGTGTCCTGTCCGTGGCAGCGAGGCCACCCACTTGCTGCTGGGAGGGGAAGGGCGCCAGCCCCACCTCAGGAGGGTGGTCATGGCTCAAGGGCCGTGGTTTCTGTGGAGGAGTCAGGGCCTGGTGATGCCACAGCTTCAGAGTCTGCCGAGAGAATCCAGAAATCTGAGCTTTAGTATAAAATTTTCAGGTTTTAAGAAATATTGGCTCTTTTCAGACCGCACAGGCCAAGCGAAACAGGTCTGCGGGCCATGTGCAGCATGCCAGGCCGTAGTGTGGTTTTCTGTCTGTTTGGGGTTAAACAGCTGCTGCTCTTCAGTGTTCAATGCTGGCATGAATAATAATGATCATCTGTTGGACAGGACCTAAACATGAGGAAGCACTGTATTATTTTATTTTTTATTTTTTTTAAAGATTTTATTTATTTGACAGAGAAAGAGAGAGCATAAGCAGGGGGAGCAGCAGACAGAGGGAGAAGGAGAAGCAGCCTTCCCACCAAGCAGGGAGCCCAATGTGGGGCTCCATCCCAGGACCCCGGGATCATGACCCAAGCCAAAGGCAGCCGCTTAACCGACTGAGCCACCCAGGCGCCCCATGAGGAAGCATTTTAGACAGTTGTCTGAGAATAAGGATGTATCTGTGGAACAGAGACTTTTCTTTATAAAAGAGTCATTGATCCAAACATCAATACAGACAGGAATGTCTCCTTTGGCCCCTTAAGTAGGGTGATCCAAGCAGCTGAGCTAAACTGGGCCAGTTGGACGAGCAAAGCATTCTGGATACAAGGCGCCCACCCTTCCTCATGGAGGGCACAGGATCACCAGCCCCTCGTGCAGAGCCGCTTCTCTTCAGGGCGTCACTGGCAGTAACAGTGATGACGCGCTTCCGGCGCCACTGACACCAGGAGGGCCTCCTCCTACATCGGTTTCCTCTTTTGTCTCTTGTGTATATTACGACAGCATTTTGCTCATAAAGCAGTATCAGGAAATAAGATTTTTAAGAAACCTTAATTGTTACTTATATCCCTGCCTCTTCGACAGTAGGTATAGAATATAATTTAAACCTTTCTGGGTGACTCATGTTATTCAGAGGTAGCGCCATTTGAAAGACATGTGGTTTCTGAATAAACACTCTCTATTTACCAATATAATCAGTTGTTATAGTAAGTATTAAAGTTGTTTGTATACACATAGGTGCACTGTGGCGGTGACTTTGATCTCTTCTGGGGGGGGGTGTGTAGGGTGACTTTTTCTTCCTAGAGTCAATAGACTGCTTTAGTTTTTGGTATCTATGGAAAGTTGACTTGGTATTTTAGTATATAAGACTCTGAGACAGTTTTTGGCTCCTTAGGGGTATTTAATAAAAATACATACTTGCAGGTATTGAAATGCATTTCAGATAACTGGTTGAGTTTTGCTGGCCAAATGATTGTTGACTATTTTCACTTTTTTCTTTCATCCTAATTCAAGCTCCCTCTGCCACTGCCATCCCATAGCTGTTATTTAAAAAATTCTTACAGTAAACTTTTTCCTCAATGTCAGTGAAAATTGTTAAATTCCATTTTGGCCCTGTAGTTTTGTTTTCGAGTCACCATAGAAGCTCACATCTGATCCTTGTTCCCTTTGCTGTTTGCCTTGCCGTAGTCTGATCCCGATCTCCCGGCCGATGTGCAGACCCCATCCTCTGCTGAGCTGGGGAGGTATCCAGGCCTGCCCTTCCCAGCCTCCCAGTACATCCCACCCCAACCGTCAATCGAGGAGGCGCGCCAGACCATGCACTCCCTCCTGGATGATGCTTTTGCTCTCGTGGCCCCCAGCAGCCAGCCTGCCAGTGCCGCGGTCGCAGGCCCTGGGGTCCCAGCCGTCCTGCCTGTGAACAGCACTCCTTCCCGGGATGAGAGGCGAGCGACCCAATGGGGATCCTTCTACAGCTCTGCTCAGACGGCCAACAACCCGTGTAGCGTAAGTACTGGCCTTCTAGAATGCTCTCATGGGCCAGATGTTGGAATTTTGTTGCCTGACTTCCTCAATTTCAGAATCACTACAATAATACTGAATTCATTTGATCAGAATTAAAGCTTGGCCGGGAGACCTCAGTTTTCATCATTTTCTCCTGAGTTAATTCTTAATGTTGGAAGCATCCTTTTATGCAACTCTGGTATTTTATGGGAGTCTCTTCCTGGGTTCCCTTCAGTGTCGTGAAATGGAGGTGGGACAACTGTCAAAGCATATTCTCATTGATGTCTTTACAAAAGGTACAGTTTAGAATGTACCAAATCATTGGGCTTCTTCTTAGAAGGCCACCTGGGACTGGAGCGGTTCTCGAGGCTCCAGGATTATAGGCAGCTAGCCCACAGGCAGGCAAGGACAACCATTTCAAATATCAAGTTTCCATCTTAGGACTTAACATTTCAGGATTTCATCTTCCTTTATTATCCTTTATTTTTTTCATATTCCATCAGTCCTTTCAAATGTGCCTTCTCAAAATATGGGGGAAGAAGTAAAACTGAAGGATGTAACATTAAATATTTTTTTGCTAATTCCACATTGGATGATTGGACTAAAACATTTGATGCTGGAGGGAAGTTAATTAGACCCGGTTTCTCAAGGAGTGTTTATACTGGGTCCTCTGATTTTGTTACATTAAGGTGAAATTGGGTGGTAGTGAACACATGTTAAAGGAATCTTTATCTCTGAAATTGGTTTGAATTTTCAAAGTATGTGGTTAGTAATAGATTGTTTCCTTTAATAACTGCTAGCATGTGGGGAAAATACCATCCATCTCTACCTAACAGTTTTTAATGTTATAACTATAAATATTAAATACTTCATATTTATAACTGGTAGTTTATAATCTTTAAGGAAATGGATGATATACAACAAATTCTTTGATACAGTGAATGTGGCTTCAGCTGCTGTCTCTTCACTTTAAGTTTCTTTCATTTGTTTATTAATCCAGGTAGATTTATGGAGTACCTGCTGTGTGTGCACTGCACAACTCCAACTTCTGCATTATGGCAAGGGGGTATGTGGACAATTGAAGCAGTAATTTTAAAACTGTGTGGTGGGTGCCTTGGCAGGGGGAAAGTACAGCCAGGGAGCACCTACCTGAGCTGTGAGGTGTTTAGAAGGATTTTGTAGACAAAATGGCATCTAGGTGGAAGTCTGAAGGTTAATTAATGGTTGCGGTAGAAAAACATGGCAGAGACAGAATTAAAAGTGCCCAGTACAAACTTCTTCTGGACAAGATGGAGGAACACGGTTGGATTACCTTCCTTCCAGAAACAACTAAAATAACAAGGAGGGGGGAAAAATATATATATATATACATACACACATACAAATATATGGGTTTTCACAATCCTGGGCATTAGGCAGCAAAGGAGAGGGATCATTGAGAAATGAGTTGAGCTCTTTACATGTCCCAGTTTACTATCTTGAGAGAGTCTCTAGCTGTGGTGCAGGGAGGAAGACCTCAGGCAGAGCGCAGTATTCTGAGTTGAGAAAGACAGAATTGGAGACTGGAGGGCAAAAGATAGGTAGATTTCACAACAGAGAGTACAAGAAAGCAGAGAATTCTAGAGATCTGCAGAGACTCTTCACCTGAGTACTGACCAGTTTAAGGGTATGAGGAAACTACCTAAGACTGGGGAAAGAACCACCTAAAAAGATTAGAGGGAACAGTCCTCAGAGCTCACACAGGTGTGGAAATAAGTTCCTACTGTAGAATGAATTGTGTATCCCCCAAATCCAAATGTTGAAGTCTAAACCCCGTGTGGCTATATTGGAGCTAGGGTCTTTAAGGAGGTGACTAAGGTTAAACGAGGTCATAAGTTTGGAATCCTGATCTGATAGAACTGGCACCCTTTCTCTGCCATCTGAGGATACACTAAGAAGTTTGGCTGTCTAGAAGGCAGAAAGAGAGCTCTCACCATAAACAAAACCCTGCCGGAACCTTGGTCTTGGACTTTCTGGCCTACAGAACTACAAGAAAATAAATTTCTGTTGTTGAAGCCACACACTCTGTGGTATTTTGTTATGACAGCCCAAGCTGATTATTACAGTTCATTTCCTTCCAGAGTAGAAAGCTGCATAATTCATGGAGCACCAGTTAGATTACTCAGAAGGAGCATTGATTTGCTTCACTGGTGGGGCAAAATGAGCCTCAGATTAAAGCTTCCCTAGCTCTACCTAACAGCATAAAAACAATATGTGAACCCGAACAAAGCTCAAGAATATTTATAAAAAAACAAAAATATATAGCATCCAACAAGGTAAAATTAATAATGTCTGAAATCCAACCAAAACTAACCAGATAAGCAGAGACAGGAAAATGACACAGAACTAGTAGACAAGGATTAAAAAAAAAATCGTTATAATGAAGTTCCATATGTTCAAGAAGCTAGAGAAAAGATTGAATGTATTAATTAGAGGCATTGAGGACGTTAAAGGATACAAATCAATGTAGAGATGAAAACTATAATGTCTGAGATAAAATATATATTTATGGGATTAGTGACAGATTAGATATTGAAGAAGAAAAGATTGGTAGGTTTGAATACATAGTAATAAAAACTATCCAACATGAAACAAAGAGAGTAAGTAGACTAACAAAATGAATAGAGCATTGGTGAGCTGGGGACAACCTCAAGTGGACTAAATATACATGTAATTGGAGTTCCCAGAAGGAGGGAGGGAGAGTTAGAAAAAATAATTAAAGAAATAATGGCCAAAAGTTTTTCAAATTTGATGGAAACTATAAATCTTCAGATCCACAAGGTTTGATGACCCCCTATGCACAAGAAACATGAAGACAATTATACCAAAAAAAATAATCAAATGGCTCAAAATAATTGATAAAGATTTTGAAATCATCCAGAGAAAATTACAATTACACATTGTAATGCAGTGGAACAGAGGTGAGGATGACAGCAAAATTCTCATTGTCCAGAAGACAGTGAAACAATCCTTTAAAGAACTGAAGGAAAAAACTGTCAATTCTCTATTTGCTGAAAATAACTTTCAAAACTTTTTAGACACACAACAGCTGAAAGAATGTATCACTGGCAGACTTTCATTACAAGAAATGTTATGGGAAATTCTTTGGGGAGAAGTAAAATGATGCCAGATAAAGATCTGGATCTACATAAATGAGTGAAAAACACTAGAAATGTAAATATAGTTTAAAAAGTTTAAAAAACCTTTTTCTTTATTTAAATTTTTTAAAAAAGATAATTGGCTACTAAGGCAAAAAGATGACAGTGTATTATGGGGTTTATAACATATATAGAAGTAAAATGTATGAAAACACAATAGCACAAAGGGCAAGAGAGGAGAAATAGAAGTACACTCTTTTGATGTTCATATACTATACATGAAGTGAAATAATAGCACTTGAAGGTAGATTGTGATTGAAAAATATAGAATATAAACTATAGCAACCATGAAAAAACTTCCAGAGTAATAGGTAATAGCCAACAAAAGAGTAAAAATGAAATTATAAAAAATACTTAGTCTTGGGGCCCATGGATGATGACTCAGTCAGTTAAGCATCTGACTCTAGATTTTGGCTTAGGTCATGATCTCAGGGTCGTGAGATTGAGTCTGGCGTTGGGCTCTGTGCTCAGTGCGGAGTCTGCTTGAGATTGTCTCCCTCACTCTCCATCTGGCCCTCCCCCAGCTTGCATGGTTGCTCTCTGTCTCTCCCCCACCAATAAATAAATAAATAAATAAAATCTTAAAAAAAAAAGTATGCAGTCCAAAAGAAGGCAGACAAAGAGGAAAAGGGGAACAAAGAACAGATGGGACAAATGGAAAACAGACACCAAGATGGTAGATTTAAATTCAGCCCTATCAATAATCACATTAAATATGAATGGTCTAAATATTCCTATTATAGGGCAGAGATTATCAGTGGAATAAAACTCAAGATCCAATTATCTGTTGCCCACAAGACACTTACATTAAATATAAATCCACAAATGGGTTAAAAGTATGGAGAAAGAAAAAAAAAAGTGTGGAGATAGATAAACCGTGTTAACACTAATCACAAGAAACTAGAGTGGCTTTATTAATGTTAGCCCAAATGATCTCATAGTAAAGAATATTACACAGAGGATCATTTCATAATACTGTATTGGTCAGGTCATCAAGAAGACATAAAATCCTAAATGTTTATGTGCGTATGACAGAGTATCAAAATATGTGAAGTAAAAACTGATAGAACTGCATGCAGAAATAAACAAAGCCACAGTTATAGGCAGAGACTTCAACACTTTCAATAATTGAAAGAATGAGTATATAGAAAATCATTAAGGTAGAGAAAACTTGAACAAGTCTTGAATTAATACTGATTTTCAGCTTGAACTAATTGACATTTATAAAGTGCTTTATCCAAGAAGAGCAGAATGTACATTCTTTCAAGAGTACATGGGTGATGGGGATTAAAGAGTACACTTATGATGAGCACTGAGTAATGTATAGAATTGTTGAATCACTATACTGTACACCTGAAACTAATATAACACTTTATGTTAACCATACTGGAATTAAAATTTAAAAATTGGCTTTAAAAAAGAGTACATGGAACATTTATCAAGATAGATCATATTCTGGGCCATAAAGCTGATCTCAATAAATTGAACAAGATTCGTATTATCAAACAATCCCATAAAAAATGGGAAAGGGGGATGTCTGGGTGGTTCAGCCAGTTAAGTGGCTGTCTTCAGCTCAGGTCATGATCCTAAGGTCCTGGGATGGAGTCCTACGTCGGGCTCCTTGCTCAGCGGGGAGCCTGCTTCTCCCTCTGCCTGCCATCCCCTCTGCTTGTGCTCTCTCTCTCTCTCTGATTAAAAAAAAAAAGAAAGAATTTGAACACAAATGTCACCAAAGAAGAAATACAGATAATAAGCAGACAAATGTGAAGAATCACCAGATGGAGAGATCTTCAATCTTGTTAGTCC